GGGGGTTGCCTCTGCCTCACTCTGCGTTCATTGAAGGTGTTGATGTGACAGTGACAGCCACCCCGGTGGTGCTGTGGGACTAGTGAGGTGCTGGGTTGTGGGAGAGTGGCCATGGAGGTACTTTGGGGTGTGTGGAGGGACAGGGTTGTCAGACCTGGTGAGCACAGCATGGTGGTGGGGACTCTGAGAGCTGTTGGCTGTGAGAAGCATTCAAACCCAAGGAGCAGGGCATGGCAGAGAGCAGCCACAGGAGTGAGCGGGAGCCCCTGTTTGTAGTGGACTGTGTGGTTTGTCCTCTGCTTGACATGAGTCCAGTTACCTGTTCTGCTGCACCACTGAGGTGGCCAAACTGCAGTTGGTGAAATACTTCATGTTGCAGACTAGCACATCCTGGAACCTTTTGCCTGGAGGGGAGCGCACACAGCCTGGAGCTGAGCTTCTGTCTCAGTTGTACAACCTGCCACTTGCATCTTAGTGTACTTATTTCTGGCTGAAATGTTACAGTCAAAGCCTTGAAGTCGGTCAAGTGTGAACTCGTTGCTATCCCAGAAATATAGTATGAAAAACTTTGCCCAAATTCATCTCTGGCAGGGTTGGGAATAACATCCAGGTCTTTGATAAGGTAAATGCAGGTCTTTCTGTTCATGTCAAAGAGTCTCATAGGGCATATCTACCCAGTTAATGGTTGAGTCACCCTCTTTATTAGTCGTTGTTCCTTCTGAAGGCAAGAAAACTATTTTGTCTGTAGCATTTTATTTCTGTCTGGCAAATAGTTTGTAACTCATTGACAAACCGTGAATAAAGTCCTCTCTAGATGCTGGACCAGAGAGGATGAAACATCTCTGGACTGAAAGGATAAGAACTTTGTAGTGGGGATATAAATACTCTAGATTTGAATTCTGGTGATATTTGAGCAGTCAAGTCTGGACAGACAAATTTGGTGGTAGGAGAGAAAAAGGACTCTAAGATACACTGCTTCATGGAATGTTTTCTGCTGTTTTTCTAAAAATATTTAAAGGACCGAGAAAACAAAAGCTAAACAGGCTCTGCGATTATAATTAATTATGCATTGTCTGTGTTATGATGTGCAGCAGAACTGAAATGTTGCACGTATGGGTAGTTTGCTCTGTGTTGGGTTTGCTGGTGTAACAAGTGTGCTGTTTGGTCCGGTTGAATGAGACATGGTGAAGAGTCTGGAACGGCAAGAGGAGACAGAAGTGACTGAGTTTGCCGGGTAGGTGGCAGGGAGGCGGTGTGAGGAGCAAAAGTAGGAGTCCCAGTGGTAGCCTCCAGCAGTGGTGGGACATGCAGAACAGGGGAGAGGTCTGCCATGCACGGAGGAGGGTGCTGGTATGGAGTCAGATCAAAAGGGAAAGGTGGTTGTTCCCGAGAGATGAGAAAGAAGTTGTTAGGACAGCAACATATGCATTTTGAGGGTGTTGGCATAAGAAGATGAGACTTATGTTCAAAGTCATGACATAAACCTAAAGGCGTGATGCGGAGGAAGCTGGTCACGTACTTGCAAGGGAAGACAAATGTGGGGCCATGTCAGGGAGCAACAGTCTGGAGGGGAGATCAGGCCTATGGTTTATGTCTGAAGAAGGCTATGGAGGATCTTGCGTTGGAGAACCTCACTGTAGAAGATGAGGGTAGGACTGCAGAGAGTAAACAGCATGCAGGTCACAGAGGGGTTTTTTTTATGTGGGTCTTATAGCAAGGATCAAAACTGAACTGGGTGCTGTGGGACTTGCAGAGATGCAGTGGGTTGGTAGCCATCCACATGAAGCAAGGATGGAGATATGCATGGTGGATGTCATGGCAGTGGTGGTTAGGAGAAAAAAAACAGAAGGGGAGCTGCAAGATGCAAGAAGTGTTGGGTAACTCTAGGAAGGAGACAATCTGGAGCCTTTCCCTGTAGTTGTTTGGCTCCACTCCAGTTTTTGGTCAATAATGTTTGAATGCCCTTCTCTGCGGGCAAGTAACAGTAACCAGTTCTCATTGTAACAACAGGCCCACATCCTGCTGTGGAGGATGTTTTAGCAGTGGGGTCAGGGTCACCATGAGAACTGGTACTGATCTATTCTTCACTCCTTGCACTAGTGTTTTAAAAGCTGAGCTCAGGAGTAGAGGTTGAAGTAGGGTGTGTGTATCAAAGCTTTTCATGATGATGATCTGTTTTGAGGATGTACACAATTGTGAAGGTGTGCCACATCATTTTTGGACTGCAACCATTGACTTTGTGATGACCAGCCAGTGTTCAGCTGCTCTCCCCATAGTTGCCAGTAATCTCCCTTTTCATCAGTTCTGTGGGCTGCCACTTCACTTTCCTGACTTTTGTTCTCTCCAGTGTAGTTCACGTCAGGGAGCAGCAAGAGCAGGGCTGCTCCTCCAGGGAGGACAAGCTAGGAGCCAAAGGTGATGACAGCCACCAGCAGTGCCCTCATTAACTAGGGTACAGTCCCACCATATCTGAACAGCACAGAACAAAATGCTCATGGCAGGGGTCCATCAACAATCCCAAAGAAAATGAGGTGGTGAATTGAGTCCAGAGTCCACCCAGCAAGTCCAGCAGTAGGAGATGATGCCAGAGACAGGACTGGAGACAAGCTGCCTAGAGTGTAGGTCCAAGATTTGTCCAGGAAATAGGACTGAGGAGAGGTCCACCTACAGTATAGCTCAGACAAGACAGTATGCCTGTACCTGAGCTGAAATGGGGCTCCTGGACCATAGGCAGAGGGTGTATGGGTGACTGTCCAAGGTAAAGCTGTTTGGGGCATTTCAAGCCTGTTAGTGCACTTGGAGACCAGCCAGCTAGAAATTCTCCCTTCCTCCTGTGCTTTCCCCCATGAGACTTTGTGAGGGTCCACTTGACTCTTTTGCCCCCTCCACTCCCCCAGTTTATCTTTGCTGTGGGGGCTTTTTCCTCACCCTTGTATCTGATGACTTTCACAGTTTTGGGGGTTGCTCTGTCCTCTTTCATGGCTTTCATTCTGTCTATGTGGAAATGATTCCTACTACTCCTCTTCACCCTGTCTGTTCTCTCTTACTTCTGTCTTTGCAGAATTTCATACAAGGAGAAATATCAGATGAATTGTCTCTGTCTCTTTTTCTACCTCTCAAGCCTGTCTGCGGGTAGCATTAGTGATCATATTAACCTCACAGTCTCCTTGTTAAATTTCCTTCTTTCTTCTTGATTGCTCATTACCCAGGCTATTTATAAATCATTTCAGGCCTTCTGTTGGTGTTGTACTGAAGTCTACCGGCTCTTCTCCATTGCTTCTGTTAAAAGTCTTTATTTATTCTTCATTGCTTCTGTGAAAAGCCTTTGTAGAGATGCTGATCATCACTCACCTTGTCTGTTGGCTTTCCCTTTCTTGTTGCATTGCCCATCCCATTCCAAATGCAGCTGCTTAAAATCTGCCTGCTGCTTGGACCAGATTGCTCTCATATATAATGTCTGATGACTTAGAAACTGCACAGTGTCACTTTCAAGCTATTGCTTCCTTCTGTTACCACTTCTTTCTGGTCTTTCTCTCACTCTTGCCTTTCCCCCTTCCCCCAACTCTTCTTAGTAAAGGGCAGATATCACTTCTTCTACATTTCACATGGCACAGAGCACAATCAATAAAGGCTTGATGAGTTGTCAGGATTGATTTTCACATATCTTAAAGGTCCCTTCACCCTGTTCCAGACTGAATGTGCCATACATACTGTAAGATACCTTAGAATGATAGGGGTGGTGTTCATGTAAAAGGGAACTGGGCGATAGTGCTCTCCAAGCTGTTGTAGAGAAATGACTTTTGGTTTTCTCATGATCTCTTGAGAGGCAGTCCCATGCTAGGAAGACACCGTGTCTTCAGCTCCATCTCATCTCAGTGTTTCTGTGCTTGCTGCCTTTGTCCCCAGGTTACCATTCCTCAGATGCTGAGTGTTTGTGATTGCAGCTGGTTGATGGCAAGGCTGGGAAATTTGCTGTTGCCAGCAACTCTGTTTTGCCACAAACTGCTATCCCTTCTCCCCTTCTTTATTCTTTTTGTGTGTGGCAGACCTGTGTACCTTGGGGAGAGATTAGGGAGAAGCCATTCCAAAATTTGCTTCCAAACTGCAAGGGATGAAGCTCATGTATCTAATGGTGTGATTCAAGCACATTTTAGTTGAGAAAAGGGACATTACTCCAAAATGGCTCCATCACACTACTTACTTGTCTGTGCACGCAGAGACCCAGACTGATTTGGTCAAACTCAGACAAGTGGGTTCGTGCTTATTTCTGTTCCTAAGTAGGGATAACTCTCTCTTGAGCCTTCCCCAGGCACCACGCACCCCAATGTAAAACACTGAAGGATGGGGCTGTGTTCCCTCTCCAAAGGAGTGTTCCCAAGTCTGTGCTACTCTTGCCTGCTGATTTTCACCACAGAATTCCCATTACATAGATTCATCGCTGTCCTTTTATGTGGACCATGGCAAGCAATTCCATCTCCCTCCTTCACATCTCTCTTTGTGATAGGCCTCTATACACCTTTACATAAATTACTTGTTTCATATGCTGTGCAGTAAACCAGTTTCAATCTGGCCCAGATAAATAGAGGTTAGAATTGTTTATCATGGGAGGGTACCAGCACAAATTCCTAAAATGACTGCCAGTGCAGGAGAAATGTTGATTTTGGGTTTTTTTTCTTTTCCTAGAAGGCAGTCATGATAACAGTTGGTTCCCATTGCTTTATTTACTGGCAGCCTAAGTAGCAAGCTCAAATAGAAGTAATTCCTCTTTGCCCGTGTATCCTGGTGGTGACATGTGAGAAAAAGCAGATACTTGATAGTAAGCTGCTTGCTGTTCTGTATTTGCAGTGTGGGTAAATCATGGACTTCAGTGTTCTGGGCATCTGGTCTGGAACATTTTGTTAGTAGTAAATTCAGGCACACACAAAATACTGTGCTGCTTAATTGCCAACAAGACCTAAAATGACTCATTTTGTGTTGTTTCTTTCTCTTCTTCCTCTGCAGCAAGTATAATGGAGAGACAGAAGCGAAAACAAGAAATAGAGAAAGGACTTCAGTTCATCCAGTAAGTGGACAACCTCATTGTTTTCTATGTCTTTGGAGGTGGTTGCCTTTGTATTGAGGACTGCAGGAACTGAATTCTTCCCGTTCACTGCTTCGGGTTCTGCTGCATGGGAAAGAGATACTGGTCCTGAGGATTTTTGCTGTAATTCTTCAGGGTGCTTCTTGTCCTGACAGCTCTCTAAACCTGAAATTCAATCATTTTAATTTCCTTGGGTTTTGCCCTCCACTGCAGTTCCAGGATGATCTTTATTGTCAGTGTAATGCTAATGGTACTTGGACCTTCTACTTCATCTTCAGCATGAAGATCTCAGTGCTCTCTCAACAGGGTTATCCCACCGTTCTCAGGAAGGGAGATAGTGTTTCTATTTTGTAGGTGGGGAAAGCAAGGTAAATGACTTGCCAGGTACCCTGTATGGTGCCTATAGGAGAAATAGATGACCTGGGCTCTTCTACAGTTGCCAACCTGGTAGGTGCCTCAGGTCACTCTTCTGTGAATATCGTGTGGCCTTATAGAGCTTGAAGTGGTTGGTTATGTAGTAGTTACAAGTCTAAGTACTTCCTTATAAAGCACAATGGTGTTTTTTCCTTTCAGTGTTCAAGTTAGCAAAGGCCTCTGACTCAGGTTCAGGTTCCATGTTGAGTAAGGAAGTAGCAAGATTGTAATCAGATTGGTTTGGGGTTTTTTTAAAAACTGCTTTGAGCCCTGCAATTATTATGGTTAAAATCTGTGCATCTATGCAGGGAAAAAAAGCCAAATCTTCCATGTTACATGTTTATATCCTGTGGTATGGCAATGATTTTTGCCCCAGTCTGAGCCTAAGTGGAGCTGATAACCCAGTTTCAGAGAACTAATTGTGAAGTTTATTTTGGTAACATTTAAGAAAACATACAAGATTCCTGGAGAGAAAATAATTTAGAAATACAAGGTGTTCATGCTTCTGGAGTGTATCTTGAACTCTGAACCAGGGGCAGTGTAATTTCTTGGCTTGTTTTGATGTGGAAGACGGGTACCCCAATTTTATAAGCAGAATGAATGTTTCTTATAGAGCCATGGCATTTTCTGTAGTTAATTTTAAGCAGCAGATGATAATTAGATTAGATAAAATCTAAAAAAAAAGTACTCTCTGAGCAATAAGATCATGTATACACTGTTGTATTACAAAGGTGAGGAGGGCTATGAAAGGTGCTAGGGATTTCTCTAGAACCTATTGTTTTCTCCTTGAAGAGATAAAGTAAATACATGTGGGCTAAGCGTGGATGATTTGGATGGTCCAATTTGAAGAATGGAACTATTCTTCTAAGTCTCAGTGTTGTTTTGGGGTAGGTGTTCCCCACACAAGTGCTACCAGTTTTGTGGCACAGCCTGGCAGCCAAGAGAGCTGGAGTTAAATGGCCTCTGGAACCTTCATTGTTTTGTCCCTTCCTTTTGTAGTGTAGGCCTAAAGGCATGTGGCTAAGTTAACGAAGAGGAGGGTGATTGTATTTATCACTGTATGTCTTTGGTCTCACAGAGGATTTAAGAAGGTCTTGGAGTGCTAGTCTCGTAACTCTTATTAGAGCCAGATGCACTTAAAATATGCTTGTATTCTCCATGACAATCTCTCATGGGACTTTCTCAAAGATGTTTTTTTTTAGGTGGCTGTCTGGAGGCGTGTTTCAGAGGATCATGTATGTGCAGAAAATAGCTGAGAATAAGATTCCTCTAGTCTCAAATCCCCTTGGGACCTGACCATCTCTTGACACCACTGTCGCCATCACTGACTGTAATGCTGCCTATGAAGTGATAAAATGTTCAATATATCACTGAGATCATCAACACAGGACCAGGAAGATGATTTCTTCATCAGACAAAAGCCCTTGTTTGCACAGATGCCTGTTTCATGAGCATTTTCTCATCTTTTTTTTCAGGTCCACATTACCCCTAAGCCAAGAAGATTATGAGGTAATGAATAATTTGTTTTCTGAAGTTGGGAACCCTCTGGTTAGCAAGATTTGTTCTGTTGCACAGCCATTAGTTTACATACTGAAGGTGGAGAGCGTGGGATGGTCTGTCACTATCTGTGATTTAAAGTTTTAAGGCTCTGACAATGACAACTTTCAGGGAAAGGGGTAGACACTTGAATGTTTAAGAAGAAAGGAGATTTGACTGGGTTATTCTCTTCTACCAGAAGACTTATGGATGTTTTATAGGAGGGTGTGGAGGCAGGAGAATCTTAGTGTGCAGGAAGTTTGCTAAAACATATAGAAAGGAATGGGAAATTGGAAAACCTGTTTCTGAATATTCACTTCAGTCTATTTGCTCTCTTCCTGCTGCCCAGGCCTTTTTGCAGAAGCTGGTGAGAAACCTGTTTGCAGAGGGCAATGATTTGTTTCGAGAGAAGGATTTCAAGCTTTCACTGGTGCAGTATGTAGAGGGGCTGAACGTGGCGGATTACGCAGCCTCCGATGAGGTGACCATCCCAAAGGAACTCCTGTGCAAGCTGCATGTCAACCGAGCTGCCTGCTACTTCACCATGGTGAGTGCCTTTCCAGGTCATCTCCATGTGCTGGGGAGGACATCATGGTTGCAGTGCCATGCAGTTGGAAGAGATCTCAAGAGGGATTTCAGTTGCTTTTGTCCACTCCCTGTTCCAACACTGAAGGAGATGATGACACACAGAAAACTCTGATATCTCCCCACTATTGCACTGTGTCTTGTGAGACCAGAGGAAGGATGTGAAGGAGAGGGGGGCAGGACTAAGTTACTGACAATGCAGTTCTGGTCCATGTTGGTGATAAGTTAGTACAGTACAGTGCCTTCCAGTACTGATGGAATATTTCTCTGGAATACTGCTTGACTATTGCTCTGGAGGCTCCTGCCTTCTCAAGTGAGGCACTGGAAGACAGTGAGAAGGCTTTGGGTCTTGGCGGAACTTTCAGCACATGAATGGAAAAGGATTCTGAAATATTCAGGCTCTAAAAGTCTGCATGCTTCTGTTTTCCTAAGGAATCTAACAGCTTTCCTTTATGGCACAACCCCAGAGCAGGTCCATCCTGTTTGTGATGAGACAGATTCCCATGAAAAAAATTAGAAAGTGGTCACATAATTAAAGACTGTCAAATGTACCATGCCTAAGGTGGAAGGGGAGACAGGGTTACTCAAGCAGCCTTAATTCTGGCATTCACTGACTCTGAAGTGGTTTGAGTTTTTCAAGACTTAACAAGATGTTCTCTTACGGTAGGTTTTGTGTGTTGTACACTGGTCTGTGTATGAAGTAATATATGTATTTCCAACTGCCTTTTATGTTCCTGTTTTCTGCTGAGAGATAAAACATCTGCATTCACACAGAAGGAGGGGTTAGTCTGCTGTGCCTCAGCTGACTTGAGGTGGTCTCTTCCATGCAGGGGTTGTATGAGAAGGCACTGGAAGACAGTGAGAAGGCTTTGAGTCTTGACAAGGAGAACATCCGAGCACTCTTCCGGAAAGCCCGCTCCTTAAATGAACTTGGAAGACACAAAGAAGCATATGAGTGCAATAGCCGATGCTTGCTGTCCCTCCCACATGTAAGTGTTTGACATAGAACTCATCTTGATCTCTGTGGTTCACTACCTTCCTCCTCTGTAACATGCTTAGTGTGAGGCCAGAGAATAGTGGAAGAGGAAGCTTGGCTGTTCTTGGGAGCATGATTATGCCCAGAAATTCTGTCTCTCTGACTCGAAGATATTTGACCTCCCATGTCAGTCCAAGTCACCTTCTACAGATAGTGCCAGCCAGAGACACCGGTTAGTGAGAGCAGGTTTGGTGGCCTATTTGTGAAGAGGAAAACCCCACCCTAACAAAATGTGAACTAAGGCTATGACATTGTTTTAATTAACTGTTTTCATATGTCTAATGGGAGTGACTAGGAGCATGGGACAAATGGGAGCTGGAGCACTGGAAGGAAAACATGTATGCTTTTCCTGGTTTAGATAAAAATGTCTTACTTACTGATAGCTAGGGCAAGCTGATAAAGCTTTTTATTTCTTGAGGGACATGCAAAGGTGTCCTTGGCATCATATGTCATAGTTACTTTTATGTTCACAGGTATATAAAGTTTTGTATTCAGAGGGGACTATCTGCATATACTAGTCCATAGATAGTCCATATCTGCATATACTAGTCCTGACAGTGCTTTTGCTGAGTGTTCTTCAGACCAAATATTGAACAGGAAACCAGACTGTGATTAGATAGATCGTAGTGAGCACTGTAGTGAGCACTGGCTATATTTGGTTCTGATCCATCACAGTAATGCTATTACAAGAAAAATGTATCTGCTTTAGCAAGAGAATTTAACTTTCCTTTATTATTAGCGTTACAGAAGCAATCTTTGAAAGCCTTGTTAGCAGTTAGTAATTCGTTTTATACGTCTTGTAAATTCTAGTTTCTTTGTCTTGGCAGAATGGGGTGACCAACACACATTAAAAGTATGTTAGGGGTGTTCCAAAGAACTGTTTTTTAAACAAACCCTTTTATAAAGAAAACCCATCTATTATCTGTGTTCATGTAAAGCCATATCTGGCTATATTTCACAGTGCAGTTGATCTACTTAATTGAATTTATTTTTTAACCATATACTTATCATAAAATCATAGAATGGTTTGGATTTGAAAGGACCTTAAAGATCTAGTTCCAACCCCCGTGCCATGGGCAAGGTCACCTTCAACTAGACCAGATTGCTCAAAACCCCGTCCAACCTGGCTTATATTTACATATCTCCCATTATTATCATTACAATCATCGTGGTCTACAAACACTTTGTCAGACACTTCTCCATGGCAGGTAGGTTTGGCCTTACAAACTCCATATCGAGTGATATGCATTCCCTATTCTAAATAATTCAGTCTTGTAAATTAACATAGCCCGTTACTTGATTAACAGAATCACAGAGTCATCTAGGTTAGAAAAGACCTTGAAGATCATCAGTCCAACCGTTAACCTAACACTGACTGTTCTCAACTACACCATATCCCTGAGTGCTATGTCAACGTGACTCTTAAACCCCTCCAGGGATGGGGACTCCACCACCTCCCTGGGCAGCCCATTCTAATGCCCAACAACCCATTCTGTAAAGAAATACTTCCTAATATCCAGTCTAAACCTTCCCTGGCACAACTTGTGGCCATTCTCTCTTGTCCTATCACCCATTCCTTGGTTAAAAAGACTCATCATAAGCCTTCTCTGTATCAAAGGCAAGTCATGCTGTCCATCACCTCACTCTTGTTACCATTACACCTCTGGAGCACATGGGTACTTCCAGCTTGCATTGCTGTAACAGCTGAGAACTGTGTTGTGATCAAAGAAGAGCATGTATTAAAACTTATGATGATGGAGGATCTGCCACTCAGTTGACTCTGTCTAGTAGAGTTAACTTGTTTCTGGGTGCAGATACTCAGTGCTACTAGTTTGCAAAGCTTCCTGGCATGGTGAAGTTGATACTCCTCTGTGGTATGCTTTTTTTTGGTATGGTGTGGGGGTTTTTTTAAGGTGTTGGAGGAGAGCATATTGCATGTCCTTGTTGAGCATCTCCTCATTTAGGTGGGAGGTAGTAAATGCCTGAGGGTGGCATTTGGCTGAAGGAAGGGAAAGCTAAAGGAAGATGTCGGGGATGGCAAAGAGCAAGTAACCCTCCACCCCCAAACCTCAGGCCTGCTGACAAAAAGGACAATAATTAACTATGTGTTGTTGGGAAGGGAAGTGGAGGCAGTCTAAAGAGAAATGCTTTCTTGATCTTGTCCAGGAAAGACATCTCAGAGTTACATTGGCATGTGGAGCTGCATAGAGTAAATCTAGTAGGTATGAGATCAATTAAAAGAAATTACATCAGAGGTCTTTATGGTGATTTTTCCACAGGAAGGAAGAAAATGGCAGACTTTGGAAGAGATCTGAGAGAGTGTTTGGAAAGGCAGAATCACCAGAGGCAAACAGAACAATGAAGACTTGATTAGTGTAGAAAGATCTGAGAGGTGGAAGAGAGTGAGGAAGGAGCAGTGAACATGAGATTTGACCAAGAAGAGGTCTCTGAAGGATATGGGGACAGTTTCAGGAGGAGATACATCCTGAAGGGGTGTCAGATGGGGAAAGAAGAGGAAATAGATGAGATGGATTTTTATCTTCACTGAGTTCAGAGAAGATGGTAACAAGACCAATGTTGAGGGTGTGGGGGAGCAAGTACCATCAGAAAGTGGCACTCCAAATTAAAGGGAAAAGTTACTAATACTGTGGGCTGGAAGAACCAGAGTCTAGTGAGGGGTTGAAAGGGAAAGGATTAACCTGCAGGGAGAACGACATTGGAAAGACCAGCATGGCAAATAGAGAGAAGAGAGCAAGCTTCAGGGTTGGAGATGAGGAAGGAGATGTTGGGACACTAAAGAGGGATATCACAATAGGTTGGGCAGATATTTTTTTCTTCTTTGAAGAAACTGTTAAAGTACACCAATATTTTTGCAAACATGGAGAGGAAAGCAGAAGGAAAGAGTTGCTGATGATAAATAAACAGAGAAAGTTGTGGCAGGTTGTTAGACCAGGCAGTACTGGAAAGTGTGGAGCAGGGGAATGGAGCATGGCCCAGAACTTTGACTAAAGCCTGTGGTGGTGTATGAGTGAGTACAAGCAGTGCGCAGGGAACACGGTAAATGGCACGCAGCTGGGAAGGCAGAAGGATCTGCTTGACTACGCTGAGGCCGTTTACCCGTAGCCAAAGATGGTGAAAATGCCTTGTAGCTAGTAAGTTGGAAACTCAGACTTAGTTTCAGTTTTAAAAACAAACAAACAAACAAAACAGGCTAGTGAATACTGTCTTCATATCAGAACTGTTTATTAACTCTGTGGCTGGCAGAGACAGAAGGCGTGCAGGCTCCTTCCCAGACATGGGGACCTTGTGGAAGCTGTATCAGCCCCCAGCAGCCAGCCTTGGCAGCCCTTCCAGCTGTCTTGCCAGCAGTACTCATGAACTCTGCTTTCTTGGAAGCAGACATTTGATTCTGATTTTATGCAGCATTGAAAGAGTGTTGGGGAGAGCTCCTGGTACAACCTCAATATTTCAGCAGGGCTGGATGACAAGAGCCCTCAGGTCTACATGGACTCTCCTAGGGCTACTCTGGCAGTTGTCCACCTGCTGCTGTCTACAAGTGTGGTGTGGCCTGGTGTGGATAACTGCATTCCTGCTTATTTCATTGTGCATGCCACAGAGGCAAAACTGAAAGTGTCTTGCCAATGGTTTTGTCCCCAGGATGAAAGCGTCACGCAGCTGGGACAGGAGCTTGCCCAGAAGCTGGGACTGAGAGTTCGAAAAGCATACAAAAGACCTCAGGTATGACTTCTTTTTTCTTAGAGACTATCCTTTGGCTCTTACTTTTGCAGAAGTGGTAGGTGCTGCTCTGCATGTATACACTACTCTGCAATCCCTCCAGCAGGCTGCTAGCTCCCCTTCTTGTCCTGACTCTTTGACTCACTTTGCCTCAATCCATTTCTAACCTCATTGCTTCTCTGTGTCTACTGCCAGGAAGTTTCCTGAGTCTCCAGCTAAGCCAGGCAGAGCTGGGCTGGTGCTGCAGGAGAGGCCTCTGGTGCACTGGGAACTTGTGTTTTTTGGAGGAGAGGGACATGTGTCCTGATCCCAATGGAGGTTTTGCATCACGGTCCTTTCCCTGTTGGGGTGGGATCCTCAGCTTCATTGGAGGCATGGCTGGTTTTGTAGTACAATGAGTCATGAAGGGTTCCTGCCCCATATCTAGGCATACACCTTCTTTGTGATGGAGGAAAGGCCTGCACTTCGTGAAAACAAGAGGTGCACATCTGGTCAGATGCTAGGAAAGAAGGCAGCAAAAAGTGAGTCATGGGCCCAAATAATTGACGCCAGCAGCTGGATCTGTAACCTGGCCTTACAAGGAACTGCCGCTGTAACTAGAGTGCTTCTGAAGTTTAAATATATACCCTGGGATGGAGCTAGAGGGCATTACGCCACTGCTAGCACTCTTGGATAATGCTGCCTTGGTCATGTAAAATCCCAGGATGCATTTTCAGGGGTAGGGAACATTAGCTAGTAGTTGAGGTTTATGTTTGCATTTGCATCCTCAACCCCGTGCGCAGTGGTGTATTAAGCAGCCAGCATGTTCCATCTCCAGAGGGGCACCTTTGCAGTATGTGTTGAAGTAATTGGTAGGAATCCAGTCTGCAGAGAACTTTTGGGGTAAATTTGGCTGTAGCATTTTACTCCTCTCCCTGACCAACCTCATATGTGATTGGCCTAACCCAAAGGAAACATTGACATTGTAGCAGCTCTCAAAACTCCAAAATGCTTCTGCCGCAAAAGAAAGGGAAGTTTTATGCAGAAATACTTTTTGTAGCGGCTCACTTTGCCCTTGCCATGTTTTTGCTGCTGTCACATTACTCAGCTGTGATGGACTTAAACCACCTGTATGTTAGCAGAATTAAAAAAAACTCCAAAATGCTTTTTTTTATTTGAAATTTAGCGATCAGTATTTTGGTAACACCTTGCTATCTCTTGTGTTGACTTCCAGCTTTCATTCCAGTGCTGTAATGCCTTCCCGAAATAGTAATTTCTTAATGAAAAGACAAAACCTTCCGTTCCTCAGGGAATTTTTTTTGCTTCCTGATTGTGTGTTGGATTTTGGGTGTTTTCCATTGAGGTGTCCAGAACAAACACACAGCCCCTTCAGCATTCAGAAAACTGTACCCTTGTGTCATAGTGGTATTTAGGGGCAGTATCTGGAAGGAAACCATACTGTAACCCTAATTTACCTAGTTTATGATCATTCATGGACTCTCTGTTCTAAGACCTCTCTCTTCCTTGTAGCAGGAATTGGAAACATTTTCTCTACTCAGTAATGGCACTTCAATCAATTTGTCAAACCAGGTAGAGTTTGCATCCTGTGGTTGTTACTGTTCATGGATTGTGCTGCTAGAATGCTTCACAGTTTTGTTTACATGCAAATTTATAAATGTCTTTTAGGATTTAAATGTATTAATTAGTGTTTTCTGCTTTTAAGAAATATTGCTAAGGAAATAAATTTCTTTGAAAATATTTCTACTGACAACGTTTTTGATGTCAGTAATTCTATCACTGAAGATAGTTATTTTTGTAGGTATTGTGAATGTTTACTTTCCCTTGCATTTTAAATAAGTTATAGGTTTCAGGGTTTTTTTGTAGCTAGGGCAATGCTAAGTAAAAGAAAGTGCAACTGCTGAAGAAACATTAAATCACACAATGTACTGAGCAAGGTTCATACACAGTTTATGTATTCTTTGTATTGTCCTGTCACCTGGGAGATACAGCTCAGGCAGGGCACTGTACAAACACTAAGCTAAAATATAAGAAATTGCTGATTTCCTTGTTCCACCACTGCACAAAAAAATATCCAAACAAACCAAAAAACAACAAATGCTTGCTGTTTTTACAGGCTATTTGGTATTTCATACTATACCTTAAAGCAAACAAACTATAAAACCATCAAAATTGTCATTTTGTACAAGATGGGATACTAAAGAGTAAGTTTACCTCCCACCATTCAGTCACTTGCCTTCACCTCTTTCTAGGAAAGCCAGACAGCTTTCTTTAATAATTGTGCTTAGTTTTTAATTTTAAAATCTTACCTTTTGCAAGAAATGAAGATAGTGAAAAAACTAGAAGTTGCAAAAGCTACTTCAGTAGATGTAGTATCTCAAGAGTAATGCTTTACTTGTGCCTTTCTAAGCTTACACTGAAGGCACATGTACTTACCTCTGTTTATGTTCCTGTAAAATATAGGCTTATTTTATTCCTTGCCTGGAGCTCCAAGTCAGCAGTTGTCTTGGCAGAAACCTTTGCCTGTTTTGAGTTTTCTGTAACAGTTTGTGGTTGTTCGATTGCAAAATATGTGAACTAAGAAAAGGAACGTTGTGTAAGATCAGGCTAATCAGATCTCACACTGCATGGTGCTGACCGATCAATGTGTCCTGGGACGTGGGACATGGCGTTCTCATCCGTGTGTGAAAAAACCCTTTTCTATGTACAGATTTGCTCACATGATTGGATATTGTGCAGGACTGGTATTCCTTTGCAGAAACAGGGTTTGTCCACTGTTGGAGGTAGATATTAATAGGCTCTTTGGATTCATGGCCTTTTAAAGTTTGATGGGTTTACTGCTCTTATACTGAAAGAGACCATAAAAGAAAAGAAGAGGCCAGATGCATTTAGTAAAGACTCTCATCTGTGAAGTGTGAATATTTCTTAAATTAAGATTAATTTCTGGTGATGTTTTTCTCTCCCCTTTCCTACACCCTCTTTGCAGACCACTTCTAATGGATTGGGTTCGATAGATGACATCGAAACAGGTAAAGACATCTCTCTTCATTGATTTTTGTAGCTTCGGTAAGGTATCCGACCAGGCTGGTAGGCCTGAGAGGTTCATCATCTTCATTTGTGTCTCTTTTGTGTGCTTCTGGCTTTGGTAACTAGGAGGGGGAAAAAGTGGTGGGATGCAGGAGTTTTTTTCCTGCAGAAAAGTTTTTTGTCAAGGCCTAGTGAGAGACATGTCTGGGAATTAAAAGGATCTGCTAACATACACTGCTCTCTCCAGTTGTGCTTTCTTAAAACTGGGCTGGGCAAAGCTTCTAAAACTCTGCTCCCAGCCAAAAGAGTCCAGATAAAGTGAAATTAAGGTTGTAGGTGGCTGTTTGTGCTTTGAGTGCATATGGTCCTCCAAGATGTTGAGGTGGAGGAAATCAAAACAAAGGGAGTTGGAGGGGACCCAGGGAGACCCATGTTCAGGGTTAGGCACCCAGGAGGAGCAGAAGGGCTACAGCATTGCTTTTCTCATGCTGGTAAACAAGTGACCTTAACTCTGCCCCTGTAGAAAGGCTTGCTGCATGCTTTGTCCTTTGTTGTGTGCTGGAGCATTGAACTCCTGCCTCTGAGCATATGAGTCTTTGTTCCTTTGAAAGGTAGCTGTATGTGTGAAGGTAAGTGTGAAATCTTAGTACTGCAAGTAGCAATTTCTCTTTTTATAGAACAAATCTAAGTTCATTATTAGGATGCTTTGGAAAACATGTTAGTTCTTTGTTGAATGCCAGTTCAGTAACTGAATGCTGCATGCAATCATGAGACCCAGTTCCGTGAATTAAGGAGAGTTTTTCACATTGTCTTGCTATGCTAAAATGAACTGGACTCCTACTGCAGAGTAAAGAGTGGCTGCATTCAGTAGGCTTTTTATCTAATCAGGACTTGGTGTAAGAGCAGCATACTACCTTTGCTGCACTTCAGGCAGAGAGAACCTTTGCTGCTAGGAAATCCTTTCAAAAACACTGAAATTACGTGTTTTCCCATTGCCCAGAGAGTGGTGTGCCACAAGGAGGGGGCTGTGTATGCTGGCTATCTCAAGAGTTTCACATTCAGAGCTTTTTTAGCAAGGTTTTTGTTGTTTTTGTTTTGTTTTGTTTTTAAGATGAAAACTCCTGAAGCCCCTTTCCCCACGCTTTGCTTAAAGTCATCTGATTAACTCAGCCCTGCCCTTCACAGGTCATGGCTCAGATCAGTCTCAGTATGGCCTTTGGCCAGCTAATGCACTAGAGAACCACTGCTGTTTTGGGAAGCAGAGCTAGAAACAGGGCTTTTAAAAGCAATGTACTTGCCCCTCTGGGACAAGCAGGTGTATGGCCAGAGAAGCTCCCAGGTGGGGGTCATGGGTATGAGAGACTTAGTTCAGGGGAGCAGATGGACAAGACCCTCATTGAGCTTATAATAATAATACATGGGGCTTAGTGTCATGGCAGTGGCAGACATCAGAGAGAGGCAGGTGTGTGCCTGTGATCCACTCGTCAAAGAATGCTGTTTTATTTTTTTAAGGTGGAGCAAATATTAGGTGACTGCAGGAGGTGCGTGAGCTTTCTGGAAGGAGTACGTGAGGTGTGGGTATGGGGGCTGGTGAGTGAGGTCAGCAGATGGGGTGTCCTGAGGAAAGCAGGAATGAGAAGGGAGAGATAGAGGAAAAGACTGGACAGAGGGGAATGAGAGGAAGTGGCTGAAGGAATGACAGGGTTTGGGTGGTCAGGGAGAGGGCAGCAGACATTTCCCTCTGCCCCTTGAAAGTAGCGGAACCTCTTGGTCCCTCCTCGCCCTTCACATGCACTGATCTGTGGGGGGGTCCTGCATCATTCTCTGGCTTATGGTCATGTGTTCAGCTTTTCAGGGTTTTGGGCCTCCTAGGGTGTGAGAGGGCTTCTTTCCTCTGCTTCCCAGTCTGAGTAGGAACCGGAGGGCCTCATTCATTCCTCAGAGTTCTGAACTTCTGGATCCTTTGGGGACCTCTCATTGTGAACCCTTTTGCTCCCCCCTGCACGTGTCCCCAAGCCCTTCCAGCGTGTCCTGAACTTCTTGTTGGCCCCTGGAGGGTTCTTGACAATACTCCAGATTTAAACATCTGAAAAATGGGAAGGCACAAGCTGTCCCTTTGTACTGAGGGAAATCTGGCCAAGCTACCAGTGATGAGGCCAGCACCGAGGGAAGTTGGATGGCTGGCTCCCAAGTGCGGCTGGGGAGGGAGCCCGCGTCAAAGGGAGATGAGTTGATAGAAGTTATTGCAAAGTGGGCATAGGGTTGGAGCCAAGCCTGATCTGAGGGGCAGCTGCAAAGCTGAGGACATTTACAGCCTTCCTTTGAGCTGCTTGCCTGTGGGGAATGCAGCACTGCAGCACTGAAAACCTGTGTTGGATCCCGTAAGGTACAACATGCACTTTCATTTGATCACACGCATGAGGTTGTGGAGAGGGATCTGTGTCTGTCTCTTGCTGCTTCCCCCTGCTTTCCCTGCCTTTTGTCACGGCTCAGCCTCTGGTGCCTTGCACAGTGGCCTTGGCTGTGGTCCATCCACATGGACCACTCACAACAAACGTCAGAAAAAATGTCACAGGAGGTGGTGGTGTGCTGCTGATGGGGTTAGAGATAAGGGGTCCTCCATGTGTGTGTGGTCTCTGCTGTTGTTTTGTTCTGGACTGGGGTGTTTGCAGGAATTGCTGATTTGCTGAGCTCTTTAAGAAAGGTACCAACACAGTCCTCGGTCAGTGAACATGTGGTGTAGAGGATGGCAACATGGCTCACTCACCCAATCCCAGTTAGAAAGGAATGACTGAGTTCTCATGGGGGCTGAGTGAGCAGAGCTTGTGCAGACAGCATGTGGCATTTCTTGCTGAATCAAGATTTGTGTCTCAGAAGCTTGTCTAGTTTCTTTTCCATTCTTATCAATCTTTCTAATAAAAGCTATTGTCTCTCCTTCCAAAACTTGTAGCTACAGTGCAGCCACTGCTATGTGGATGGAGAAGGTAGCATCCTTGTCTTACTTCTTTTCTTTTATTTCAGGATATCTGCACAGGGGCAGAATTAAGGTAGTTTGGGTGCTTGGTTTGAGAACTGCAAATGTAACGCTGCATTTTCTGAATTGCTACCATTTGAATTTTTTTTTTAACCTTTAATTTTTTTGGACAATAAAATGCTCTTCTGTGAAGAATATGTGCTTGCAACCTTAACTTCACTTAACAGAGGTTTATATTGCATGATGGGAATGTCTTACTGTTTCAGTAATGTACTGGAGAGGTGAGGAAGCCTTAGGGAAAATCACTGTCTCTCTCCTGCCCCAGCCCTGGCTCACACAAGTTCCCAAGAGGATGTTTGCTGCTGAGGTGTTCAGGGGGAGTGTGGGCAGCAACCTTCCAGCTGTGGACATCAGGAAGCAGTCAAGATCAGGGAATTTACTTGGGTAAAGACAGCTGAGTGAGTCCGATGGAATTTTTTTGGGGACACATTGTTAGCACAACCTCATCTGAGTATCCAATCTCTGGCTCTCTTCCCAGGAGGACCTTGCGTTTTTTTATCTTCTGCCATTTAGGATGCCTGAGTTTTTAGAGAGGGTATACGAGTAAGGAAGCTTTCAGCTGGGATATCAAAGGTTCAAGGAGTAGAGAAGGCAGTGATGTCTGCCAAATGCATTTTGATGAGGAGCATCACTAGGTGGTGGGTTATACAGAAATTGGACTATGTGCCCCTGGCCTTTAGTCCTGGCCACAGTGAATTCAGTAACTGCTCAGCCACAGGTTCTGTGTTGTTCCTGGTTACTGTACTGTGCTTGCTAAATCCAGACAGTGAGTCTGGGCACTGGCCCTTAGAGCATATTTCAGCTGTTGGTGAGCCATTGGAGACTAGGAACAAAAATGAAAGGGCAATAACTCTTCAGACCAGAACCCGTCCTCTCAGAAAATTGGCATAGTTTTTTTTTGCAATTTGATGGAGTTGTACAATACTGTTTTTGCCAGGCTGTGCTTTGCTTGCCTCTGCAAGAGGCTCTTCTGGGTGACTGGCTCTGTTTTTCCCTCATCACAGACTGCTCTATGGACCTGCAGTGCCTCCAAGCTCCTGTGACCACCTCCATCCCCGTGAGCGAGGGGCTGGCCCCTTTGCCCTCTGACTCAGATGCAAAGGGCTTGCCTACTTCGCTCCCTGCTGCCAGCTTGCTCCCATCTCCAGACTGCGTGTCCTTGCCAGTGCCTGAGAGCGTGGAGGACTTCACAGATGGGGACATCATTGGGGAAGAACTGGACTCCCTCTTGGACTCCCTTGCCGAAGGGTCACCATACCCTCTAGTAAGAGCGGGTGCTGCATGGGTCCATTGCTTGTTCCAAACAGGTCGTTGGAGCATGTGGATATGCATGTTGCCTCTCTCTCTCTTTCTGTCACTCTTCCCTCCTAGCTCTTTCTCTGACAAAACTCATTCATTCCTTCCTTTATTTCTGCAACTGGCTTGTTAGTATCTAAAGAGCTTGCCTCCAAGACTGCTTTGCTGTGTGCATCTTCATGGAGCTGCCCCTCAAAAGGTACCCAAGATAGCCTTCCCCTGCCATCACCTTTCCCCTGGCCTCTGCTGTCCTTGGAGTTGAAGCAGTCTTGAGAGTAGAAATGAGTATACTGTAGCAGGAATAATGGATGTATTTTATACAATAGGCATGCTCTAATCTCCTTGTATTTTCTGCAGGCTGCATTCAGCCTGAGCTCTCTGAACAGTCCTGGGAGCTGTAGAGACAATCTGTATTCATACTTACATTGAATTTTTGTTAACAGTGTTGCTGATGTTAATGCGAGACAACTTGGGTCTGGAAGCAATATAGTCATAGTCATGCAGGACTCCTCTTGAGCCAAAAAGCTCTGAGGAGAGGTGCCACAAGTAGTGGTTGTTACCCTGACCTCAGCTCTGTGTATTCAGCTGCACTGTTTCTTAACCTGAGCTGGTTTAAGTACCCGGCACAGGGCTCTGCCTTGCAGACTGATGAGCTCAGGTAGCCCAACACCTTCTCAGGGATTTCAGTCCAGACTGTGTGTGGTATAGATAGAATGGAAGGTCTGTGGGAAGTCTGCAGGCAGATGGAGCTGCCAGGTATCCTTTTACTTCAGATAATACAGCACGCACCTGAGTGGGAGCCTGTTGCTCTCTGTTCACTCATTCTGTGTTCCTCATTCCTAATGTGCTGTTTATCCTCCCCCTTCCCGATTCCCCAAAGTCTCTGGTCCAGGGCACCATTCCTACCAACCTGCCAACAGAGATGCCCCAGCTGATCCCTGTGTTTCCGGGGGGAACTCCGCTGCTGCCCCCAGTCATGACAACCAATATCCCTGTCTCCACCCCACTGCCACCTGCCTCCTTCGGCCTGGTGATGGATCCCACCAAGCAGCTCTCCTCCTCCTCTGTCCTGGATGCCTTCGAGGCCCCGCCAGGAGGAAGTGGCGGCTCCACTTTAGATTCACTGGATTCCCTGGATCTGCTCCCCTACACAGACTCACAGCTTGATGCCCTGGACTCCTTTGGAACAAGCAGAGGATCAATGGATGCCTTGGATTCCTTTGCCATTGGTAGGTGTGGGGCTGATGGGGTTTTGTGCTGCTTTACCTGTGAATGAATGCCAAAATTATTTCCTTCAGTGCTGTGGACATCTGTCATATAGCTCTGTCTGCTGGTGCTGCAGAATGGGAGTACTAATGTAGAATGTCTTTGACAGAACAGCTGAATATGTCTAGCTCAAGAGTAATGAGAAAGGCTATAGGTGTGTGTAATCCCAGATAACCAGTATGTGCATGGTGTAAAATCTCAGAGGAGGAAGGAACACAAAGGTATATAATGATGAGCAATGAGATTTAAACCTGGCTTGGTGTCCAGAACACCTCCCTTGCAGAATTTCCTAGGCTATAACATGATTTCTCCACCCTCCCCAATGACACTGACATTTTGGACCAAATGAGCAAAATCCTGGTGACTTTATCCTGATTTTAGATGATATAGGGTTGTGCTGGGCAGAATGATAGAGGCCAAGGTCAATCTCTCCCATCTCTGGATTCAGAGCAGTGAGTGGGGCACAGCATTTTCATGTCACAAGGAACAAAGCTGTGGAGGATGGTTGGCAAAAAGTAGGTCCCCTTCTGTCACAGGAGGAAGGCCAGGCGTCTTCTTGGCTAACTTGTCCCCAGTAAGGGAGCAAAAGTATTTTGAGAAAAGCAGCAATAGTCCATCAGCACTTCCAACACTCAGATTCACCTCAGCATTGAGCTGCCTTGGATTTGTCACCTTGGGAGTGCCAGCGCTCACCAACAGAGAGTTGGGTTCAGTAGGGTTTGGGGAACAAGAAAGCCTTTCCTGGAGTTTTTACAAGACTTAGACAGGTGGTTTAGGGAAAAAAGTACTAAAATGTTATTAAATAAAAAAGCAAATGGATTTAATAAGCATTTGTTTGTCTTTTTTGAGCAGAACTGCCTCTGAAAGTGGAATGATTGTTTTTGTTTTGTGGGGCTTTTTTCTCCTTCTTTTGCCTAGAAGAAACTAGCCCTCAGGAACTGCGACACCCACCTGGCAGCCAAAAACCATCCCCCGTGGTGAGTGAGCCGCTTCCCCGTGCTGATGTCCCAAGGTGCTCTGGAGCCAAGGTAGTAGTGACTTGGGTGACGTAGGTAATTTGGACCCCTCTTCTTAACCTGCCCCAGTGAGTGTTGCCTCCCATGCTATGGCAAGGCATGTAAAGATTTCCCCAGAGTCAATAGGAAGACATTTGTTCCATCTTTATTTTTGTCTGCAACTGTGCATATTGCCAAGGTAAACATGGTGTGACCTAGGTTGTAGGCTCAATGGGGAATCATGGAGGCCAGTGACCTACTATATCTGGCAGCCACATAACACAGAAGGATGGGGTGGAGTAAGCCAGCTTTGTCTTAAAACTAGTGAGGTTCATTGCTCCCCTCTTTCCCTGTCAGGAGGCTTTTCCAGATACACTGTCCTGCCTCTGTCTCATGTTTCCAGTCTTGGAGGAAAAGGGGAGGATTATCTATGGTTAGCAAGCTTGGAACAAGACATATTCTTAAATTTCTGGAGTCCTTCTAACACTGTTATTTCATTCGGAGCCAAGTCCTTGTCCTCTGATTAATCTACTCCCTGAAGACTCACTGATAAATGGTTTGGTTTTTTCCTAGATTGGGATAGGGTTGATTTGAGAGTCTTCGAATGCAGAGTTGGTCATGATGGAAGGAGTGGGAAGGAGTGATGGGGGCATTTTGTTCTGTGGCTCATGAAAGAAAACTGAGGTCCTTTACCAAGAGAGAAAGGGGCCTGTCTTTGGAGTGAACATACCTCGTTGTTTGTTATCCTTGAAAAGTTTGTGTGCAACTCTTTTGGAAATGTAGTTTCAGATGTGAACATTTTGATGAGAGAGGAAATGAGGAAGGTTTTTGAGAGGCTGGACTGGAGCAAGGGATTAGAGAGGTTTCTTAGTTATGTGGTTGCAGAGCTGAGAAGTACATGTGTTTTCATTTAGGTCAGCCTTGGTGGAGTGAGTCACCCAGCTGTGCCCAAAGTCACCGAGCACCTGCTGTCCCAGCCAGAACCAGTAATGCCGAACACAGCCCTACTGGTGAAGAACCCCCTGGCATCTACTCATGTCTTCAAACAAGCGTGTCATATCTGCTACCCCAAAACAGGTGATGCATTTGCTCTGCCACCCAGTGTGCTGTCGTGGGCTAGGGTTTGCCTTTTTCTGGGCTGATGGGATTATTCACTCCTGCAGGGCCCAAGGCTGGTGATTACACTTATCGGGAAGGCTTGGAGCATAAGTGCAAGCGGGACATCCTGCTGGGCAGGCTGAAGAACTCAGAAGACAAGACCTGGAAGAGGATTCGTCCTCGCCCCACGAAAACCAACTTTGTAGGATCCTATTACCTGTGCAAAGGTGATCTGGAGAGGATAGGGCTGTTGGTGGCTGGGAAGGGGCTTTACAGAGGCTGAGAAGGGACTTGCAATTGGTATCACCTGCTGTCTTTGGGGACTTCATATCTCATCAGTAGCCCATGGACTGAGAGGCTCATTGAAAGTCAATGAGCTCCCATGCTGGGGAGAGCAGGCAGCTTTTGAAGTGGTGGAGCAGAAGAGTTACAAAGTCTTAATGAAGTGCTGCGCACAGCCAAGCACTCAGCTGCTGTGCTGACATGGGCTTTGCTGAGAACCTGCCAACTGTACATGTGCCTACATTAGTCCCACTCCACCCGGCAGCCCCATGGCTTCTTAGTGCTGAGACACTAGGAGAACTTAATCTGGCTTGGCTTTAAAATAGATTGATTCAGTTGTGGTCTGTCCCTGGCCAGACACTGAATTAATTCAGGCCTCCATTTTGAGATGGGTTCTACAACAGACAGCATTACTTGTCACCAATCAGTAGTTTGCAATAACTTTCCTGAATGTCTTGGTATGGACAAACTTGGGGGGAGATATCTTTTCTTTTTTCTTTAACTCTGTGTTTTCTTGCTTTCAGCTCCTTGTGAGGTGTGGGCAGTGGGAGGAGACAAGAGGGAGTTTAGTTTCTGACTGGGCTGCCCTCCCTGTGTGGTGGTGTGTGCTGTTTGTTGCTTTGTAGATATGCTTAACAAGCAGGACTGTAAGTACGGGGATAACTGCACCTTCGCGTACCACCAGGAAGAGATCGACGTGTGGACGGAGGAGAGGAAGGGGACCCTCAACCGTGACCTCCTATTTGACCCTCTAGGTGGGATCAAACAGAGCAGCCTCACCATTGCCAAGCTCCTCAAGGAACATCAGGGCATCTTCACCTTTCTCTGTGAGGTACAGAACTGGTGGGAGGGAGCATGCACCCTTCATCGTCTCCTCAGTATGTATCTGGACCATTGATATGTTGATAGTTGCCATCACAGAAACATGATGGGATGACTCGCACAACTGGAGTGCTATGATGGATGGCTATAAACCCTTCAGAAGGGATAAGCAAGGACAGAGAGGCAATGGGGTAGCCCTGTATGTTAGGGAGCGTTTTGACTGTCTCGAGCTTAATGATGGTGACTATAGGGTTGAGCGTTTATGGGTAGAAATCAGGAGGAAGGCCAACAGGACAATATCATGGTGGGAGTCTGTTATAGACCACCCAACCAGGATGAAGAGGCAGACAAAATACCCTGTAAGCAGCTGGGAGAAGTCTTACAATCCCTAGCCCTTGTTCTTGCGGGGGACTTCAACTTACCAGATGTCTGCTGGAAATACAATACAGCAGAGAGAAAACAGTCTAGGAGGTTCCTTGGAGTGTGTGGAAGATAACTTCCTGACACAGCTGGTGAGTGAGCCAACTAGGGAAGGCGCCTGCTTGTGGGTAGTGTGATGGTTGGAGGCCCTCTTGGGCATAGGAATCACAAAGTGATAGAGGTTTTGATTCTTGGAGAAGTAAGGAGGTGGGTCAGCAGAACTGCCACCTTGAACTTCTGGATGGCAGACTGTGGCCTGTTTAGGAGACTGGTTAACAGAGTCCTTTGGGAAGCAGTTCTGAAGGGCAGAGGAGTCCAGGAAGGTTGCACATTGTTCAAGAAGGAAATCTTAAAGGCTTAGGAACAGGCTTGTCCCCATGTGCCAAAAGAGAAATTGGTGGGGAAGAACTGCCTGGCTGGAACTCAAAATAAAAAGGAGAGTTTATGACCTTTAGAAAAAGGGGCAGGCAATTCAGGAGAACTACATGGATGTTGTGAAGTTACACAGGGAGAAAATTAGAAGGCCCAAAGCCCACCTAGAACTTAATCTGGCTACTGCCATAAAAGACAATAAAAAATGTTTCTATAAATACATTAGCAACAAAAGGAGAACTAAGGACAATCTCCATCCTTTATTGAATGCAGTGGGAAGCATAGTGACAAAGGATGAGGAAAAGGCTGAGGTACTTAATGCCCTCTTTGTCTCAGTCTTTAATAGTAAGACCAGTTGTTCTTGGGATACTCAGCCCCCTCATCTGGAAGACAGGGACAGGGAGTGGAATAAAGCCCCCATAATCCAAGGGGAAATGGTTAGCAACCTGCTATACCACTCAGACAGACACAAGTCTATGGGGACATATGGGATCCACCCAAGGGTACTGACAGAGCTGGTGGAAGTGCTCACCGAGCCACTTTCCATCATTTATCATCAGTCCTGGCTAACAGGATGGCCCAATTGACTGGAGGTTAGCAAATGTGACGCCCATCTTCAAGAAGGGCCGGAAGGAGGATGTGGGGAACTATAGTCCTGTCAGTCTGACCACAGTGCAAGGGAAAGTCATGTGTTTGACATCCAGGTGATCAGGCCCAGTCAGCATGGGTTTATGAAAGGCAGGTCCTGCTTCGCTAACTTGATCTCCTTCTGTGACCTGCTGAGTGGATGAGGGAAAGGCTGTGTATGCTGTGTACCTAGACTTTAAGTCAAAGGCCTTTGACACTGTTTCCCCCAGCATTCTCCTAGAGAAGCTGACTGTTTATGGCTTGGACAGGTGTATTCTTTGCAGGGTAAAAAACCTGGCTGGCTGGCTGGGCCCAGAGAGTTTTGGGGAATGGAGTTAAATTCAGTTGGCAGTTGGTCACAAGTGGTGTTCCCCAGGGCTCAGTATTGGGGCCAGTTCTGTTTAGTATCTTTATCAGTGATCTGGATGAGGGGATTGAGTGCAACCTCAGTAAGTTTGAAGGTAACACTAAGTTGGGCAGGAGTGTTGATCTGATTGAGGCTCTACAGAGGGATCTGGACCAGCTGGATTGATGTGCCGAGGCCAGTTGTGTGAGGTTCCACAAGGCTGAGTGCCAGGTCCTACACCAATGGCATCCTGGCTTGTGTCAGCAATAGCGTGGCCAGCAGGGACATGGAAGGGATCTTACCCCTGTACTCGGCACTGGTGAGGCCGCACCTTGATTCCTGTGTTCAGTTTTGGGCCCCTCACTACAAAAAGGACATTGAATTACTCGAGCGTGTCCGGAGAAGGGCAATGAAGCTGGTGAAGGGTCTGGAGCACAGGTTGTATGAGAAGCGGCTGAGGGAACTGGGGGGAGAAAAGGAGGCTCGGGGGAGACCTTACTGCTCTCTACAACTACCTGAAAGGAGGTTGTAGTGAGGTGGGTGTCAGTCTCTTCTCCCAAGTAGCAAGTGATAGGACAAGAGGAAATGGCTTCAAGTTGCAACAGCGGAAGCTTAGTTTGGATATTAGGAAAAATTTCTTCACCAAAAAGCATACCAAGGAAATGGTTCGGTCACTGTCCCTGGAGGTATTTAGAAGACATGCAGATGTGGTGCTTAGGGACATGGTTTTAGTGGTTGTTGGAGAATGGCTAGCAGAACAGGGCCATAGCTCCCTGCAGGAGCTGGTCGGCCATAGCTCCCTGCAGAGCTCGGTCCCAGCCACCTGAGGTAAACAAAGGAAAGAACCCAGGGTACAGTTATGTAAACAAGGATGAGCACCCAGGGCTCAGTTGTGCTAAGGAGGATTATTGTGAGAACGCAGAGATAAGTTGGGGGCGCAGAATGACCTTGGGGGGTGATGGGAAGCAGCTCGGGAGCGAATGTTTATGCATACCAGAAATGCCACAGGGGGCTGGGGTATTATAATGTGATCTTTTGAATGTACCCAATGGCTGAGACATTATAATGTAGTTTCTTGAATGTATCCAATAGAGTTGCAAGTAGTGTATTGTAGACTGCTTATATAAGGTGTGATTTCTCTCAATAAACTTGAAGCTTGCTCTATCATTCACATTGAATTGGCTGCTTGCTTCCTCCGCCCGCCGCAAGTGGTGGACTTGGCAGTGTTAGGTTTATGGCTGGGAGTGTTTTGACCTTCCCTGGAGATGTCTGAATATCCTGGGTGGCAGCTGCAGACTTCTCCTCAGCAGTTACCTGAAAAGTTTTCTTCATGCAGGACTCGGGTCCATGCCTGGTAGCTCCCCAGGACTCCTCTCAGGCATCTTCAGGACTATTTTGGCCTCCTCTGGGGATGGATGAATTCTCAAGTAGCAGCCCCAGACTCCCCTCATGTTGCTAGTGAAGGTGTTTCGTCCATGTTGGAGGCAGGTCAATACCTGTAGCTTCCCGGAACCTCTCCCAGGCAGCTCCAGGACTGTTTCTGACTTCCCTGGAAACAGCTGAAATCTTGGGTAGAAGACACATTCAACTCCTAGGCAGTTACGTGAAGAGGTTTGTTCGTGTTGGAGGCAGTTCCATGACCAGTAGCTCCCCAGGACTCCTCTCAGGCATCTCCAGGAGCATTCTGGTTTCTTCTGGAGATCAGGGGATTCCCTGGTAGCACCCCTAGCCTATGCTAAGGTAACTACATGAACAGCAGTGTATATGATGAGGGAAGGTTAAAGGTCTTTTCCAACCTAAATGATTCTGTGATTCTATATGTCCCAGCCAGTGCCCTGCTCCCAGCTGCATAGGAGAAAGGAGAGGCAGTTTTCCTCCTTAGCCCTGCACCTGACCCAGGTGCAAGGAGCCTCATGGCATCATCTGTCTCTTCATCTGTCTTGAGATGTTGCTTTGAATTGTAATTTAGCCCCAGCTACTTTAGAAATCAGAATCTCATAATGCAATAGATTCCCACTGGATGTCTGTGCTGAGCCACTGAGTCAGTCAGTTAAGGTTTGGCTTGTACCATCTTCACGCTCTGCAGCAGAGTTCCCCACACTGCCAGTGGTACCTGTAAAGGGACATGCTCTTAGCTGTGAGCTGGCTGTTCTTTTATTTCTCCCCACCACTTCCCCCTTGTTCTTGCTCTGTTGACTAACTGGGAAAAAATATGTGGCTCTGATCAAAATTTTTTCCAACCACAATGGAAAAGAACTCTTGAGAATAAGCCAAAAAATGTTGTCCAGAAGCTTTCTAAAAATTCGCTTGTTTTATTTTAAAGTCCAACCACAAAGTTTTCACCAGGCTTCTTCTAACTTTGAACATTAGAATAGTTTGGCTCTCGCTCTTCTTCCCCTTCCAAGTGAAGTAGCTCAGGTTCACTGCTCTCTAAGATTTTCCCAGCATGCTAATTTTTCTCTTCTCAGATTTGCTTTGACAGCAAACCCCGGATTATCAGCAAAGGGACCAAGGACACACCATCTGTCTGCTCCAACCTTTCTGCCAAACACAGTTTCCATGACAACAAGTGAGTGAACATTTTTTTGTGCTGATGGGAGCAATCTCTTACAAGTCCAGCCAGTTTAACTCTAGGGCCCTGGTCTCTTTCTCTCTTTCCTCCCTGTGGGTTCTAGTCATAGCAGCTCAAAGCACTGTGTGCTTCACCCTGTGTGTTTGCTCCTGGTGCTGAGGGATTTCAGGCATCAGCAAAGCTCTTTGGAGTCAGTCTAAGCTTTCCATTGACTTAATTTGCTTTTGAGTTTGGCCTTTACTTAAAGGTCAAACCAAAGATCCTCTAGCTCAGGATCCTGCCTCTGACTGGCTGGTAATGAATGTTTAGGAAAACAAGTATAAGAAACATGTCAAGTACACAGTAGTAGAAACCCTTCTGGTTCCTGGCAACCTGAGACTTAGGGCCTTGCTGAACCAGAGGAGTTGGTATCTTTGCATATTTTGAAATGTCTGATCTCTGAACTTAAGCAGAGCATCACCCATGGGCTGAGGACGTTGAAAATACCTACCTAGGGTTGATAGGGTGGGAGGGCAGGGGGTTGGTTTTCCCAGTGGGAGTCTGCCTCTCCCAGAGTTGATTTTCTGTGTCCTTTGCCTGCCCAGACAAATGTCTGAAAGTCATGTATAAGGAGGAGGGGGTGAAGATTTGATCCTCTGGTGCTTCATATTTCTCTGGCCTGGCTGCAGGTGTCTGGTTCACATCGTGCGTTCCACCTCCCTGAAATACTCCAAGATCCGCCAGTTCCAGGAGCACTTCCAGTTCGATGTGTGCCGACATGAGGTACGTTACGGTTGCCTGCGCGAGGACAGCTGCCACTTCGCTCATAGTTTCATCGAGCTCAAGGTCTGGCTGCTGCAGCAGTATTCAGGTGGGTGTGACTTGGTGCAGGGTTGGTGATGTGTACACCCAAGTGTGTACCCAGGGCCAGCTGAGAGAAGAGGGTGATTTTGGAGTACTGAGAAGTTGTCACTCACTTGTGCATGTACTTACTCTGTCTCCTCAGGGACACAGAAAAGAGGGCCAAGGTGTTCTCTGAGATGATTTGGCCCTTGTCCCTTTACATGTGCTACTGAAGTTGGCAGACCAGAAAGCCTTTCCCATGGGACCAGCTGCATAAATTGAAATGATTATTAGGTAGGGCTGAATCCCCAGAGGTGTTTTGGTGCTTAAATCCTGTGCAAGACCCTAAATAGCAATTGGGACCCTGTGTGAGCATCTGGTGCAGTGAGAATGACAGCATGTGCAGATGACAAAGTGCTTATATAAAGGAAGGCTGTGCATCTCCAGTTTATCTCTAAACAAATTCACCAACAGTGGGAAATGGCTAGATATTTGGTGTTTCCCAGAAAGGAGTTGATGACATGCCTCTGAAGAGGCTATTGCAGAAATTATATTTAGGTCACTCATATAATGACACTGCCACATCGGGCACCCTCCAACATGTTGTGGGGTTTCTCTTGGTGCTCTCCTGTTAACCGAGTAGACGGTGATACACCTACGACGCTACCTACATCTTTTTTCACCACAGGGTCTTGGTTAATGCAGGACCTAGCTTGGTAATTGGGAGTACTTCAGAGAGGAAACACATTATGGATGTTTCTCACTATGTTGTAATTGGGGGCAACTTCTTTGATTTATTGTTCAAGTGCCTGTCACTGTTGTTCAGTGCAGTCCTTGGCTTTGGCTTGGCTCATGAGGGACAGTGATGAACAAGTAACACACTGTGGGGAATGCCATTTGGCCTCACTTACTTGTGGCTGAAGGAAATTAAAAAATTACACCACCAGAGTTTCTAAGACAGCATGTTGCCTGTAAGCCATATGCCACCATTGCTGCCCTACATGCTTATGACAGTGACTGTAGTATTCTGAACACTCTAATATTCAAGCATCTTGCTCTTTTCCCCACCCTATGGTTGGTTTATTTTTGTTGGTGGTTTTTTTCAGAAAAAGTTTCTTTGTTCCCTCCCTCCCTATTCCTTCCTCTTCAGCCTGTAGAAGAAATGGTTAGATTGATTTTTGCTTTTTGACTTCTTTACTTGAAGAAGTGACTTCCAAAGGGAAGGCTGAGGAGATGAAACAAGCCATGAGTTTAGCTGCAGAAGTGGTCAGTAAGCCTTATGCTTACTTCTATCTTTTCCAACAATGGGAGATGCATCATCTTTTTGGTTTGTTGTTTGTTTTTTTTTTTAATGTGAGCCTGCTGTCCTTGTGAGTTTGTCTTCCTGGAGTGGTAGGTTATTACCTCTCTTAAGTGTAGCCTTCATTATGGAAACAGAGGTGACAGGTAGTTGTTGCCATTCTCTGGGAATGCTTTGGCTTTGGAGCAGAGAGTTTGATTTGGGTACCATTTGCTTGGCAAGAATAGGAAGGGAAGCATCATCCATAGAAGCTTGCATTTGAAATCAGTGAGCTGTTGCATTTCACAGCCATTTGAGCTTTTACAGAGCTTGTGACTCTTCATGGGGATAAAAGATTGTATTAGTGGAGTAAAGGTTCCCAAGATCTGAAAATGTAGACAGGCAGAACTTTTTTCTTGTTCACTGTGGCTTTTCGCACACATATCTTGCTATCTTCTCCCATCAGTGGAAATCACTGAGTCTTTTTCCTCACTAATGATGTTGAGAAAGATGTTGAAATGTTACAAGTAATCAACACATGGGCCTTCTGGTTCACAGATCATCTTTTTGGAACAGTTCATGCTTTGGAGAGCTGGTGTGTTGGAAAACATCCTTTCATATTTGGGAGGGTTTTTTTTCTCAACCACCACATTTCTAGACCATGTTGTTGAGTTAGCTCAGATTGCTGGGACTGGAAGAAGGCAGTCACTTGCTAAGAACTTAATTGGAAATTCAGTCTTCTGACAAGAGGTGTATATGCTTCTCCTGTTAGTTCTGCACTCAGAGGATCACTGCAGGTGTGCAGAATGGAGATGATGGGAGCTGCTTTGGCCCTTTCTCTGCCAGGTCCAGTGCAGCACGTTAACTTTTTGCTGTGGTTTCCCCAGATTTACAGTTTTTTTGTCTGAAGTACAGATCAGCGTTGTGTCCAGCCCTGCAGTACTTGGACACAGAAGAGGAAGTTGCAGTTATTCTAACTGTACGCAGTTTCTTCTGGGATTAATGGTTAAGAAGGAGAAAATCCACAAACAGTTCTGACCTGGGAGTAATACCAGCTATGAAGCAGCTGCCATTTTGGAGGCCTGAGCAAATGTTCTTGAAGAATGGGAAGGTTCCCTGAATACTTCTCATCCTGTCCAAGCCCTGTACAAACAGCAGTATTGTTGCCTGGCAAGCGCCTGGACAGTTGAAATCACAGATGGGGAACGTGGGGTCAGGAGTGCTGTGACTTACCAAAGTTACACACAGCCTAAGCTGAGATGAAAACTTGTGTTTGCTGGCCCTTAAGTTCTGAAACGTCCTGACTCCCAGATCAAACATGGCCCTGTGGCATGCCTGAGGAACACCTCACTTCAATAATAAAAGCTGTAGGCAAAAGCAAAGCAAGCAGTTTTGCAAACTCTCTGTGCTGGGTGTGCCGCGTAAAGCTCATCCTCAGCACCCCACTTCTGGCAGTCAACTGGCCATTTTAAGATACTTGCTTCAATTTGTTTTGGCAGCTATCACGAGTCTTTATAGCACTTAAATAACATGGGTTTTTTGTAATAGAATCCTGACATTGTAAGAGTAGGAACTGTCCAGTCATACTTTCTCCTGTTGTTTAGTGGTCTGCGAATTGTAGCACCCATATAGCTGGTTGCTGCTGGCAGAGGCTGTTCCCTCACCATTTGAGTTAGTCAGGAGCTAATTCCTTAGATAAGGTCTGATAAATCCTTTTTGTTTGATATTGCATTTCTGATTCCTGAACCCTTGCAGATCTTTCCTTGCTGGTTACACAGTAGCCACTGTCCTTAGTTAGTCTTTCCTTGCTACCTTGTTTGTGCTTGGTGTTTGTGTTGAAATTTGACTTTCCTCTTCGCCTATTGATTGATGAGCAGCCTCCACAACTTAAAGTGTGTAACAGGCTAATTAATCCCAGCAGGGATTTGGTGAGACTTCTGAGGTCTTCGAGAATCTAGATGTGATCTTCCAAGCTAGTGGCAAAAACTCCAATATACAGTAGATCAACAGTAACAAAGCATTGTCTTCAGGGCCTTGGGTAGGATCTGTTCACATGGTGTTGGGGGACAGCCTTGGACAGGTCTTGACTGTTAGTCAAGAATCATCATCTTGGAGGCAGCATCTGGATCCTTTGCAGACAGCCTAAGCAGAATGCCAGGTCTGCCTGAGCTCAGGAGACTGAACTGTTCCTCTTTCATTTGGCTTATGTGAAGAGAGGAGCTTCCTTAGCCTATGCTTAAACACATTCTGTGGTGGGTCCCCTCACAACCCATGACCTGACATTACCAGTAGGAGTGTTGGGAGCTATCAGCCACACAGGTGTTACTAAGCCCCAACCTAGGAAGTCCTGTAACCCTTCCCTCCCTCTCATCTTTTAGCCAAAGCATAGTAGCTCAGTCCTGTCTCCTTTTGTTCCCAGGAATGACCCATGAAGATATCGTGCAGGAGTCAAAGAAGTACTGGCAGCAGATGGAGGCACATGCCAGCAAACCAGCCAACAGCACGGTAAGTAAGGTGTATCTAGGGCTTGCATCCTGGTTTTGCTCCTAACTGTTCCGGCACTTTCTCTTTTCCTCCCACTGCTCTGCCTGACAGGTCGCAGGCAGACCAGGCTGGCCATTGAGGCAGGCAGCTGAGAGCTTTCCTGGTTGCAGTGGCAGCGATGAGCTTTATGCCCTGTTTTGCAGCATTGTTATCTGCTCTGTTCAGTGATGGGGTAAAGCCTCCAGAGCAGGGAGGACAATGCACAGAGAGTGGTGTTTTCTGTGACACCTTGCTGGTGAAACTGGGAAACTTCGGGGACTGTGGCCACACAGAGTGGGGACCAAAGGTGTCCTGCTGCCCTTTAGTGGCTAAGGGACGATACGGCAGTTTGAAGGACTCTAAGAAATGAGTCATGACTCAGGACTGCTCTAAACACAGAAGTGGGTGGAACTTGCAGCTCAGGTGCTGTTGAAGCTAGGCAGAGATCTTAGTAGCACTATGCCAGGAGGCTGTGAGCTTTGCCTCTCTTTGTGCCACCAGTCTCTCAGTGTGGGAGAAGGTGCCTCTGGCTGCACCCTCTAGCACTGCCAAGAGCTTTCTCTGGAGAGGTGTGTTATAAGCAAAGGCCACCTCTTTGTTTGCTTTCTCCCAACCTGTTGGCAAGGGTGGTGCTGCCTTAACTTTTTTTTTTTTTTTTTTCCCCAAGGGGTGTAGGAGCAGAGCCCACCCAGTGACGACAATGCCCAGCCTTGAAGTTGAACTAAAGCAGTTTTGCCATTAGAACAGGGAGGTTTTTTGTTCTTTAATTCCTTTTGGAAGATATGTCTGATGAGATGGGAAGCTTCCTGCCTCCTAGCAAGCTCTAGGAGTAGGAGCAATTCTCTCCCTGGAAAAATGATGGGTAAAGTGTTGTGAATCCTTTTTGTTCCCACTTGACAGATTTCTTTCCCCTTGTGGAGGCCGGAGCTCACCACCCCTTGGTCTGTGCTCAGCTGTCAGAGCAAGGGTGCTTCACTTTTGTTTGGTACCTCTCACCTAGGAGTCCCTCTTCAGAGACCAGCAGTGAGTGCAGCCTGTGAGCACCCTGTGGAGGAGGTGTTTTGTAGGAAAGGGATCTGAGTCACTCACGTGGAGTGTAGCAGCTTTTTCATTTGGCTAGGTTATGGGCCAGCAGAAGTGTTCTGAAGGCTGTAGGGCACTGATGCTGGGGAAAAGCAGGTCTGATGGCAATGGGTTAGCCCAACAGGAAAGATGCAGGTTACTGCACTGATGCTTGCAGTGGGCTCTGTGTCTACCTACGTACAGCGTGAGATGGATCCATCTTTGAGGAGATGCTCAGCAACATACCTGTGCAGCCTGTTCTGCTGTTGTGGTCTGAAATGATTGGGGGAGGGCAATGGGAAGCAGCAGTCCACCAGTAACCAAGGTCTCTAGTTCCCAAAGCTGTCTGTCTTGCTTAAGGAATATGTTCTAGACTCTCAGTCAGCTGAGACGACAAGTTCCTACAGCCTGTATTATATGAGAAGTGAGTATGGATCTGAATGGTCCCTGCAGACAGATCTGGCTATGATCTCTTTCTACCTGGGGACAGAGGCAGCTGCCTGCATTTCCACAGTGCAGAAAACTGTGAATTTTCAGCAGTAGTTGGGTTTATATCAGGAATCCCTGCCCCATGGGGAGTGAAGTCTAGTGACTGGTTCTGTCCTGCCTGCTGTGGATCTGCCTGCATCTTCCAGAAAGCTCTGTCTTCTCATTCTTTGTACATAATCTACGAATAAAAAGAAGATAGATGGACAGCTGTTTTTCTGTAAGCCTTGCAGTTTCAGATTCACCTTTGTCTGAAGTTGCTGCTGCTGGAAGAACAAGTTGTTCAGTGGGCTTGGTCAGAGCATGTCCTCTGAAGCATGTGGGATCTGGATGCTGAGTGAGGGTTTTGTTTCTGGCTGTTGGGGCTTGCAGGGGGCAGAGGATCAGGAAGAGAAATGCCAGTGCCAGCTACATCAGCTGTTAGGGGATGGGCAGAGCGCTACATTTTCAGGGCCCCTTGGACAGTGTTAGGGCTGATGGCCAATGGCAAAGTCTGGTTGTGCCCCACAAATGCCTGTTGCAAAGCTGGACTGTAACCTTCACCCTTCCAGGGCATCAATTTGTGCGGAGGCAAAGCAGCAGCCTTGTTTGTACAGTCAGAAAGTGCCCACCAGCAGCACCATCAGTTGTCTGTAGGGATTGGTAGTCTGGCATTGGCACTGTGTAGGGGGACATCAAGTCAGTCAGACTCATGTGTTTGCAGACCTTGGCTTTGGCATCAGCACATACTCAGACAGAGGGCTGTGCTCCAGGATGAGACATTGGCTTGCTGCCGAAGACCCCGGGGGCAGAACTAACGTATCTGTTGAGAGATGTTTACTTTTGCTGTTATTTTCTCCCGTCCAAGCAGGCTAATGTGACTCAGAGTTTTCTCAGCATCCTTCCAGCTTTCAATGTTGGCTGCCTGGCAAAGACAACTTCCCAGGAGTGTTGTAAAAGCAGACTCCTCCTTCCCACCATTCTGTGTGATCCACACCCACCCTGGCACCCTCTGGTCAGCGGAAGCAAAGTCACTCCCAGGGATTTTGATGCAGTTTTGTCACAGCTGCCAGTTGGACTCAGTTAGTGGCTGGGGTTATCCAGTTGTGGAGAAAAGAGGCAGGCAGCATACAGAGACCCAGCAGCTGTGATGATGCAGGTCAGCAGACTTAGCAAGAAGTGGAAGATACACTGCTTGCTAAACACCTGTCAGGGATCTCGCCCTTGGCCCCGCAGATTTGGTCCCATAGAGGCTGCTGTAGGAGTAAACCCAGTTGCTCCAGACTGAAGAGACAGACAGCAGGAAAGACCATTACAGGTAGCTGGGTGTCCTCCCATCGCATGCCTAGGAACTGAGGGGTTTTAGCCCTATTTTTTTTCCGGTTTTCGAGGGCTATTCTGTTTTTACTCCACTAGCCAGCTGCAGAACCCCTGTAAAAACTGGCTTCAGAAATTTAAGCATGGAGAAGAAAAGAAAGTCTCTAATAAGGGGTACTTGTACCTAAGTACAGCTTACTCACTTAGGTGTTGAGTAACCTGGGCTCCTCATACAGTCCCCCGAGGCATGTGGCTTCTCCAGAGAGCATTTCAGTGTCACTGAGAGGTGTTCCTGAAGTTGAGAGACACAAGTGGCCGTGCTGGGACTGTTGCTTTCTGCAAAGCCTGAAGTGGAGAGCTGTCGTGCCAAAGGCATTTATTTATTTGGTTGCCATGGTGCATAGCTAACACTATATCGTCTGGCTTCATAGCAAGGGGTGGTGCCACAGCCCAAGGCACTTTTGCCTGGCTTCATCTGCTAGAGTCTCATGTGATAGCAATTTCCACACTTGGTTATCAGCAGCCTGCCAGGTATGTGTCTTGACTTTACAAATACAGTCATGTAGCAGCAACAGCAGAAGCTTTGATCTTTCACTTGGCTTCTAATCCCCTGGGAGCATACATGCCCACTGGATTGACCAGCAGTTTTCATGACTCTGATGAAGAAATGCAAAGGGCTTCTTTTGGTTAAGAATTCTGGGGGAAAGCAGTCCAGATCACCAGAATTACCTGAGAAACATTTTCTTTAATCTATTGTGTCTTCTGGAGATACTCGGTTTTACTTTTTCCTGGGTCAGTAGATTTGAACCAAGCTTCCTGTGCTGAGAGATCTGTCATCTGGAGGATTATATAGCAGATAATATTGGGCTGATGAAAGGGAATATGCCAGCAGTGCCATTTTGTTACTTTAGGCCTATAGGTTTGTTCAGTAAGTGTTGAACGGTGGCATAATTTCCTTTGGAGACCAAGTAGAGATTAAAACTACTGTTCAAAGGTCACACACCTGAGAGGGAGGCACCTTACTGCCTTCTGTGATATCCAAGGTCTCGACCCTGCGCATCCTGCAGCTGGCTGCTTTGATGTGCTCTAGCACTGATGAAAGCTGACAGGAACAAGTCACATGCCAGATGCCACCAGAAAGGCTGTCCTGCGGGTACGTAGGCCAGAATTGCCACTGCTTTTCAAGAAAAATGATGGTTCTCTGGATGGGTCCTTTTGCTGGGGCATCCAGAGCAGTGATGGCCTCTTGTAGACAGCACAGGCAAAGGTCAGCTCTCTGGTCAGTTTTTCACAGTGATGGAGAACACTTCCTGTGTCAGCTCTGCTTCTGTGAAAGACTGGGTCTGGAGGATGCAGAGTGGTAGTCAATAGCTTATGTGGCATTTCCTGGGAGATGTTTTGATTCTGCACCACCTGTTTTCCCTTTGCCAAGGGATGCACATAGGGTCCACGCTACTGTTAATCAATTGCTGGCAGCACCTTGCTCCTCGAGGACATGGTTTGCCTGTCTGCTTCTTATTAGATGCTTAGGGTTAGAAGTAAAGGCATGGCAGTGGGGGTGGGCTGTTTATGTGGTTGGCAGTCAGAGAGCTGTTTTACTGGTACGTGACATTTGGTTTGGAAATGAACTGGAGACACCAGACTCATGTGTTCCAGTGTAAACAGCTTTCCAGAGATTTGCTCAGAAAACAGAAGGCAGTGATGATATGGGACTGACTCCCATTTTTTTCCACTCCACAATCTGTTAGTCATAATCCCAAAAGAGCTTTCTTGAAGAGACAGGTAGAAGGCCAATGAAGTTAAGTGGCTGAGAGGATATGAAATCTGTGAATTGACAGTTGTACCTCTGTCCAGAGATCATGATTAACTGCCTGTGAGGCCTGGTGCAAAGGAGCTGGGAGAGATGGAAACCTGCCCAGAAATGGCTTTGAAGGGTATTAACAAGAGGACCCAAATCTGACATCAGTGTGTCAAGTGCTAGATGTGAAATGAGCCTCTTGGTCCAAAAGCTGGAGTGGGAAGTCCTGCACTGTGGCACAGACTGGCCTCCTCCCAAGGGGGTTCTCTTGGCTGTGCGGCTGAGCTCTCTCCATGAGTAGCGAGGGCAACACGTGTTGCCCTCCCTGCAGGGAAGTGGGCGTTAAGAACTGGGGCAGGTCTTGCAGAGCTTGTCTGTACATGGAGATATGCTGCAGAGGTTCCACAACCAGGTCTGGTCAGTGCTTGAAGCTGACTGTGCTTTTGTCCAGACGTCAAAGCCCATGAAATCATGCTGTAACAAGCGGTGGTTTTGCTCCTGTCTGGTATCTCAACAGGCCACCAGCTAACTCTGGCAAAGGAGAGCTGGGCTGTTTCTGGTTTAATCTGGCTTGTTGCAGGCATTCGGGGAACCACCAGCATCTCTGTGGCAGTTTGGGGGGTGCATTTTGGCTCTGTTTGCTTGAGGCTGTGGTTCTTTCCCCCAGGCTTCTCCCCGAGCTCCCACGTCAAGCACCTTTGACCTTCAGATGAAATTTGTGTGTGGCCAGTGCTGGAGGAACGGGCAGCTGGTGGAGCCAGACAAAGACCTCAAGTACTGTAGTGCCAAAGCCCGCCACTGGTGAGCAATGCAACCTTTTCTTTTCCCCACCCCTCTTCAAGGGCAGGCATTTCTCCTTTTACCTTCACTTGGGCTTCATCTCTATGGAAGAGGCTGTAAGGTTTCTTAGCAGCCTCTTGCTGCTCAGGGTGTTTGTCACTATAGCAAGCATTGCAGATAGCTGTTTTCCAGTTTCCTGCTCTCTTCTTTACTGTTTGTATTTGCTGACAGCATTGTGCAGATTGTTACTTTTGGTGCGTGCAGTTCAGCTCCCACAATTCCCTTTTTTCCCAGTTGCTATCATTTCTTCTTAGCAAGGTCACTAAGATAGTTCTCTTCTGCACTTGTTTATATTTCTAGCTATTTGCAAACATCTGTCAGGTCACTATTAGCAATGATTCAAGGTATTCTGCTTCCTTTTAAATTAATTTCCTTGGCTTTTTCATTGCTCTGATTGCTGTTCTCTGACATGTCTTGTCTGTTTGCACCTCCTGGCCCCTGGGAGCCTGTGAGGATGTTCAGTGTGATAGAAGAATATCAGCTGGGAAGCCACCATTAGGTGACTTTCCAACATGGAAAGTGTGGCACCTCTTAACACAGGCAGCCTGGCAGGATAGGATGTAAGGTTTTGTAGGACCTCACTTCCCATAACACAAGCCACAAAGGCACAGTCTGGCATCCTATTACAAATGTAAGACCTTTGAGGAAAAAGAGACAGAAGCAGGAGTTGCTGGAGGAGGTGAGCAGGTGAGGATCACTTCCTGGAATGGAAAGGATAACACCTCTTCATGCAGCTACTGAATAGAACTGGGGTTTTTCCCAGAGTATCTCCTGGTGATCTCTTGCTGGTGCTGCAGGAGAATTAATACTTCCTGGCACCTGTTCATAAGATGGTGCTTGTGGTGACTTGCATTTCTACTGCACCTTTCAAACAGAAAATATTCCCAAATGTTTTTCATGGATCTGATTGCACAAGAACTGGCTGTGTCAAAGGGTGGAATACAGTTGTTTAGTAATCCATGATGATGCCATGTGGGACTTGGGGGATCTTTTGTGCCTTTATGAGAAGAGATACCCCAAGAAATATGTGATAAGTACAGGGAGAAATCCTTCTAAACACCCTGCTTGTGGCTTCTCTGTCACAGATGTGTGTGTGTCTAGGAGGAGCCGAATAGTGCAGAGACAAGCTGGACTGAAGGATCGGGTCATCTCAATATTTAAGGGTTTCCGAGGAGAACAAAACCTTGTTCTGCTTGCTCTTTTGCCTGTCTTGATTTATTCTCTCTTCTTTAGTTGGACGAAGGAACGTCGTGTCCTGTTGGTGATGTCCAAAGCAAAGAAGAAGTGGGTGTCTGTGCGACCACTGCCTTCCATCCGCAACTTCCCACAGCAATATGATGTAAGCCCCGTGCCCAGCACAGCCAGGTGCCCCTTCCCCTTCCCTCCCAGCATGGTGCAGTGCTTTGAGGGCTGATCCCTTGTAGACTTGGCAGGGAGGCAGCCATGTGTTGGCTGAGGTGGGAGGCAAGGACAGACTCATGGCAGCAAGATCTCAAACACATCCAGCAAAAGGATGGAGCAGAAAAAGGAGCAGCACCTGTTTAAACTACTCTTTGCACATATGCAAGTTTCTGACGTTGCTGTTAATGCAGTCACTGTCTCAAGAAGTGGCTGGCACAGGGCTTGGGAATGAGATTTAAGTCTCCCCTTAGGTCAGGGTTTCTCAATGTGGGTGAGAGGCGAGACAGAGCGCTTGGGCAAAGCCTATCCCTGCCTTTGCTGTGGCTGTGCTGCTGTAAATTGTGAAACTGGCTCATGATGTGTTTTGAAAGCAAAACTAAGAACTCGGCTGAAAAGCCACATGTAAGGAAAACTACACATATCTAACCTCCAACTCTAGCCCTGAATATGGCAATTGATAGTTTCTCTCTTTCCTTTCCTTTCTCCCTGAAAGGAGAAAGCTCTTTCCTCCCAACCCTGTGGGATCTTCTGCCCCTTAGTCTGTGGCAGGTGCAAGGCCACTCGCAAGGCCTGGAGCGCTCTCCGTTTGCAGGCCAGTTGCTAGAAACTGGCGAGGGGAGCAAGTGTTATTTACAGCTGCTGCAGTAGGAGAGAAGACCAGCAGGTGAGTTGCAGATCGTGCAGGAAAGCAGGTTGCCACACAAGTGTGTGCATTGCCTGAGCTCCCACCAAACCTCAACCAGAGAGGAACAGTGTTGTCTCTTCTCCAGCTGGTCTCCACACCACCATCCTCCTCTGGTGACAGGACTGGGGGAGAAGGGATGGTCAGTAAATTCAATGCTTGGAAAGCTTCTCATTTTCTCTGGCAATTATGCCGCTGGTAGCTGTGAGGTAAAGTTGTGTGTGTGCTCGTGCAGTCTAAGCAAGCCATAAGGCTACTCTTCACCCACTTGGAGATGGCTGGAGAATGAGTCACCTCTGAGGACCAGCTACATGACCAGCAGGAGACACTGTTGGGCTGATCCAGGTTGCTCCCTGCTGTCTCGTGGGTACCTGCACCCAGTTGCCTATGAAAATGGCAACAGGAGAGAGGCCAGATGCTGAACTGAGCTACCTGTGTGTTTATAGGGAAAACTTACCCTTCATGTCATCAGGAGCTTGAGGAAAAGAAGCGTGAGTTAATGACGTATGAAGTGTCCTGTATGCAGCCTCTCCTGTGTGCAATTTAATCCCCAGGCTGTGTTTTTGAACCCACTTTCCCCTCTAGCAAGGCGTGTTTTGCAGATACTAAATTTTTCTCTCTGTCTTTTAACAGTTGTGTATCCATGCACAAAATGGCAGGAAATGCCAGTATGTGGGCAACTGCTCCTTTGCCCACAGCCCTGAGGAGAGAGACATGTGGACCTTCATGAAGGAAAATAAAAGTGAGTGGGGGAAACATGAGCCAGAGAGCTTGGGGAGCAGGAAGAGGACATTTAGGCAGTGGATGCAGGGTCTGTTAAGACATACTCTTGACCACAGAGGTGGAGCTGGTACCATGACTTTAGGTGGAATTATGGGGCATGTCTGTCTACAGTAATTTAGAGCTGCTCTTTCCTTAAACACGCATTTATAACTTGAGTTCCTCACTCTGGGACTGGTGAACATTGATCTCATATCTTGCATTGCTCCATTGCTGCCCTCCCTTTCTGCAGCTCTTTGAATCCACCCTGTGCTGTCCCTCCAGTTGCCTATACTGTCCCAGGCCTGGCTTTGCATGGAGCTCTGCCAAAGTGCCAGTCCTGACCTGTAGCTGCTCCTGTATCTTTCTTGTCTGTCTTGTATCTGCCTTGGCTTCCTTGCCCATTTCTGCTCAATATCCCTTGCTCCTGGGCTGCGGCACTCCCTGCTCACAGCATTGTATTCAAAAGGAGTGGATTTGAGATCCCGAATGAGAACATCGTTGGGTGGTGCCTTTGTGGAGGAGCTTGTCTGGAATCAATTATGCAGGCTCCCAAGTTACCTTTTGTGGGGGATAGCTGGGGGGTTGCCTGTATCCTGGATGGCCAACTCTCTGGCAGCAATCCTTGCTTGTTCAGACCAACAGCAAGCTGGAAAAAAGGACTCTCTTTGCAAGGCCCAATGTCCAGGTGCTCACCTAACTCTCTTGGGAGATACTGGGAAGCTTGAAGAGTTTCAAGCCTGCACTGAATTTGTTCAGTCTTTACAGATGGAAGGTCTTTCTCTCTGCTGGGCCAAACACTGTTATTTGTTACAGTTCAAGTAATTTTGTTGCTGAGGCCTTTAAAGCAGATCAGACCAGTCTGGGTGTGTTTGCTCAAGCACCAAGATGAATCTTCAAACAACAGTGTTGTTTCAGTTTGGGGGAATTTGCATTCATTATCCCCAATTGCTTTGAGTTCCTCAAGTACCCATTTAGCGAGGAGTAAATCACTAAGGCATTGCACTTACAGCATTGCATCATGTCTGCAAACATCTGTGTTTCCACAGCCTCTCTCAGGAGCTGATCTTGGAAAGGCAGATGTGCAGTCAAAGCTTCCACTAAAGCTTCCCTTCCCACTAGTATGCTGAATGGATTTTAAACCAAAAGCACCACGAGACATTGACTGCAGTCCTCTGGGCAGGTTTTGAACTTGGGGCAGGCTATCATTAGGTCTTCTTCCCCTCCCCAGTGCTTCCTGTGGCCATCTTGCTTAAGGGCTCTCCTCTGTCTCGAGTGCTGAGGATGAAGCTTAGGTTTAGGGAGAAGGGACAGATCTGAATCTAGCCCATGCCTTAGCTCCCTGGCTGGAGTGAGATGTCTGCTGAGGTCAAGTGGAATCAGGCCCTGATGGAGAATCACCTTGTGGGGTGGAGTCCATGGGGATCTTGTGGCACTTTCCCTCCTTTCTGAATATTTTGTGTAGCTGCTGTCATGGTTGCCCCTTGACTCATAGAAGACACCAGGTGGTGTGGTGTGAATTTGGTTCCTCTCAGGGCTCTTATCTGAGGAGGTGACACTGGGCCTCCTGAGCACAGGCCTTCAGTTTGATGGCAAGTGCTGCTGCACAGGAGAGGGGAGGGGAGGGTTGCCCCAGTGTTCATCCTTTCCTCATAGTTTGTGCACGGTATGTGAGGTTGTCCAAGTGACTTCACGGGTTGCCTTTGTGCAGTACTAGATATGCAGCAGACCTATGACATGTGGCTAAAGAAACACAATCCTGGGAAGCCTGGAGAGGGGACACCGCTCACCTCACGAGAAGGGGAGAAACAGATCCAGATGCCCACCGACTACGCTGACATCATGGTAATCAGCTGATCTCTTGTCCTTCATCCCTCCTCCTCCTCAGTGCTGACAGTCTGCCCCTCTCCTGGGCTCTAGGGGCTGCATTGCTCTTGTGGGACAGAGCCTGTGCTAATGTATGTTAAATGGACAGCTTGGAGCAGCACAAATGAGGCAGGAAGGGGCTGAGCTGGGGTCAGCAAGGCTCTGCAATGGCTTTTCTGTTAATCCTCAAGTCAGTAGGAGTCTACCTTAGGTTCCCTTTTGCGTTGGCTCAGCCTCTCCCCAGGGTTCCTGCCTGCTCCTGGGAAAGCCAGCAAAGCCATTGCTGGCCTGTTGGAAAAGAGGGAGAAGGTTGGAGAAGAGCTGAGTCTGGAGTGCAGAGGCCTGAGAAAACTAGAGGCAGATGTGTCTCCTTTGCTCAGGGGTGGTGGCTGGTGTAAGGGTTTGTGCTCCTGAAGAGTCCTGCGTTGCCTGTGCACCTGGGGGCCTTGCAGTGAAACCCACCCTGGTTCATCAGCAGGGACAGGGGGACCATGTCATGAACTGAGCTGTCCTGACCTCTGAGCCCATTTGAGCTGTAGGCAGACCTCGACAGAGCATCTCCTCTGCTCCCCTTCAGTGGCAGCACAATGCCCTGAAGTTGACATGTCAGGGAAGTGCAGGAGGTCGTACACTGCGTGGAGCTTCCAGGATGCTCTGGAAGGAGAGGGGGAGAGGCAGTGCCAGCACGGGGAAGGCTGATGGTTGGGATTGTTAATGCACTGACTGGCCCTTTGCCTTGTCTGGTCTGGTTAGATGGGCTACCACTGCTGGCTCTGTGGGAAGAACAGCAACAGCAAGAAGCAGTGGCAGCAGCACATCCAGTCGGAGAAGCACAAGGAGAAGGTCTTCACCTCGGACAGTGACTCCAGCTGCTGGAGCTACCGCTTCCCCATGGGCGAATTCCGGCTCTGTGAAAGGTATCGTTGTTTCATCTCCCTCCTGTGCTGCTGCTGCAGGGACAGGGCAGCAAGCCTCCACCATCCCTCCTCCTCCTTTACCACCTCCTCCTCTTCTCACGGAGTCCCCAGGGACTTCTGCTTGGAGGAGGAGTGGGACAAGCTGACAGGTTTGGGTGATGGGGAGGCTGCTGTTAGATCCCAGAAGTGCTCAGCCACGCTACTGAGTGGTAAAACCCCATTCCTGAGCACGTGTCTTTAGAAAAGGAGAGCCAGCTTCATGTCTGCACCTGTCCCCTCTACAGCCAGGATGCTCTCAGCTCTCAGGCTGCTTGGCCCGATGCCTGGGGGAGTCCCAGGTGCTTTTTTAAATGGTTTGAATGTCTCACACCCTCTGAATCAGTGCCTTGAGGGGTCTTCAGAAGGCTTGTGATGGTTAGAAATGCTGGTTTGGTTAGAAAGAAGGTTCTGTCTCTCGTGGCTGTTACCTGGCATTTCCTCTCTTGTGTGGTGGTTTCTCCTCATCCCTTCTGGCCTATTTCCAGCTCACATTGTTTCATTCTGTTGACTAAATCCTCTCATGGATGTTGCTCTGTTTGGTGCTCTGTTTCTGTGCCCAGCCTCCATGTTGCCTTCCCCGGCTGCATGTGGGTTTGTAGGAGAATCACTTTTCCCTTAGAAAGGAGAGTTCACGGCATGTTTTGGTGGGCCCTGATCGAGTATCTGAGACAGGGACCTCAAAACTCTGTCCTGGGGGTGCCCTCCTGATTGAACTCCTTGTGCCAGCAGGTTCCAGAAGAGCAAGGCCTGCCCTGAAGGAGAGGAATGTCGCTATGCTCATGGCCAGGACGAGCTGACAGAGTGGCTAGACCGGAGGGAGGTGCTGAAACAGAAACTGGCCAAAGCCCGCAAGGACATGCTGCTCTGCCCCAGGGATGATGACTTCGGGAAATACAACTTCCTATTGCGGGATGGCGTATAGTAAGGGTAGGGGGGTGAGCCTGTTGGCTGGAGAAACATGGGGTGGGTTTTCCAAGAGTGGCAGTAGCAGGGAGAGCGAGATCTGTGTCTCGCAAAGAGAACTTTTTCTTTTCTTTTGTTTTAAGATTATGAGATGATGATTTATTAGTGGTGAATGAAATCGTGAATTTGATTCTCCTTGGCCAGCGAACGCCATGCTCACTTGAGTTTGTGATCCGTCTTCTCTCTCTTCTTTCTCCCAAATTCTCCTTCCTCTCCATTTTTTTGTTTTCACTGTCCATCAGAGGAATGAATACAGTCTGTACTGGGCTGTGAATCAGAGAACTTCTCCTTGTGTCATTCTGCCCTTCATTTCAGAGTATGGCTGCAGAGATCCAGAGGGCAAAGCTGAGAGAAAGGGCCAAACACCTGGTGAAAAGGTGACCATGAAGTTCATGTGCTCCTTTTCTCAGTGCTGCAGAGCAAGCCCCACTTAACGCTGCTGCAGCCATTCTCTCCTGGGAATTAAGTACCAGAATTAGGAGTTGAAGTGCAAAAGAAGGAAAACCACTTAAGATCCAACTTAAAACATCTGTGCTTAAGCTTCTGCTGTCTGTATTGCCCTGAGACATCAACTGGTGCTGAGGGAGGGTAACAGCTGTCTACTATAGAGTGTAGCTAAAAGCAGCAAAGTAATAAAACTGCTTGCAGCAGCAGGAACTGGACTGTAGGTGACTTCAGACTGTTTCAGCAGAGAGCAAGTTGGTGACAGCTTATTAGATGTCTTTCTCAGTGCATGACAGGTATTCAGGGTGGGTAGTTTTAGTCTGGGTTTTTGGCTGGTGTGACTGGTGCAAGTGAGACTGAAGCCATCTAGAAGGTGTAGTGGAGACTGTGACACACCCTGTGTCACTGTAGTCCATGCAGCAGTATCTGTCAGGAGAAAGGCTGTAACCAAAAGGAGCTTGTGTTTCTGTGTTGCCTTGTGTCCTGAAGAGAGGGAGATAGGTAATGGAGTTCCCTTCCTGCTTTCTACTTGGCATACGGTTTTGGTTATTTAGAGCTGCGTTTTTCCCTGCATGGCCAGAAGAACTGGGTGGGGACCCATTTAAAAGGACCCCATTGAGCAGCATGGGCGGTGCTTTGCTGACAGGAATCCAGCTGGAAGGGCACTTACCAGCACCAGAGGTGCAGCCCCCTCCCCCTCAGCACTGGGGCAGGGAGCTTGCAGATGTGCAGTGCAGCCAGGGCAGGGACTGCGCCAGAGGGTGAGTGGCCCAGTGGGACCCAGCCATGCGCCTGCTCCTGTCCTGCCTGACGTGCACCACGGTGGGGGAACCAGTGATGCTGAGCTCTGGGCCAGGACTTGGCGTCTGTAGCGGCAGTACTGAGAGGCAGTACTGGTCTGTATGCCAGCCTTGTCCGTTCTGGTGGTCTTATCCTGTAAGCAGCAAACGTGTGTCCTGTCCTGAGCTTCCCTCTCCTCTTCTCTTCTGCAGTCCAGCTGCCTCTGCAGTTTTGCATGCATGGATGGCACCGTCCAAACACAAATACATCTCCCTCCCAGCCTTCGCAGGGGATGTCTTTTTCATCCAGAGTCTCCCGGGACAGCAAGCTCAGAGCCCTCAGTCTGGCAGTACTGTATCTGTGGTAAATACAACCTGGCCGTGAACTGCTTGGTGCTTTGGCATTGCTGAGTCCCCCTTTTCTCTCTCTGCTCCCATATCCTTGGGGTTCCCAGCTTCCGGAGGGATGGGATGTGGAAATACGCGACATGTATAAATGCAGATGCTGTGGGGGCAGCTGGCACCTTTCTAAACCTGCTTCCATGCAGGTCCATCAACTCCACTGAAGTGGTTATGGGCCAGGACCATGATGATAGAGAGGTGACTTACTGGAAGTGGTTGTTTCCATCTCCACGTGTGGGGAGAAGGATGAGATGGAGAAGGATCTTTAGTGCTGTGGGGAGGGAGAGTGACCAATGCATCACAGTTTTTGAGTGGTCAGGTGCTGTATTTTCTCCTCTGCTCTTCACTGTAACTGTCTGGATCTTACCTTCTCCTGCTGCTCCTTGTGCTCAACTGGTCAACTTTATAAACAAAGAGAGATGGGGAGGAGGCAGGCATCAGCTCCTGGGTCATCTTGTTCTGCTCTTGTTGGGCAGAGACACCAAGGAAGCAAATCTAGATCGGGGAATGTTGGAATGTGGTTTTATTTTTAAAACAAATCTGCATCTCTAGTGTGACTCTAGCGTTCGCTGCACCTTGACTTCTCATACAATAACTTGTTTAGGTTACAGAGTGGGTCACCGTTCCCTCTGCCGTCTCTGCGATGAGAGCTGAACTGCTCAGCAGGGCTGTGGGGGTTTGGGTTGGGGCCAAGGCGGGGAGAGGGCGAGCGTGTGGGAGACAAGGGAGGCCCATGGTCACGGGGGTTGCGTCGAGTATCAATTTTTGTTTTCCCTGATATGATAACCTGGTCTGTGGTGTTGCAGTACTTTGTCACCAGACTTGTTTTAGTGTGTATATATGTGACCCCTCCCATGAAGCATATATACACAGGTATTAAATATATCACTCTATATAATATTATATGTGTGTGGTATCGAAGGAATCTTTTAAATGAGGGTAACGGAAAAGGACTCAGGCCAGGAAACGCAGCATCTCCAGTTTAAATATGAAGACTTCTATTTGGGTTAGAGAAAAGGAAATAACAAAGAGGGGAGGGTTTTATATAGATAGGTATAAATTTTGAGATGGAACAGGTTTTCCTGTTCACACTTTTGAAACCCCCTAGCATGTCCTCACAGTCCCATCTCAGTGAAAGAGTATTATACTGCTAACTAGCAAGTAAAGTTTAAATGGTAAAGCTTTGCTTATATTATTTAAAGGGACATTGTGAAAGGCAGGAAACTTCACACTTGACTTCCCAAGCTTGCTTTATCAAGCCAAGAGGGTTTTCTTCAGCACATTATGTACTCCCAGCAGAACTGCTCAGCACTCGCAGATCTACAACAGGTAAATGCCAAGTTGTAGGGCTGCTTTAGTGGTGTGTTCACAAGGCCCTGTGATAACTCTCTCTTTTCTTCATTCATGTGAGGGGAGAAAGAATATTTTGTAGCACAGAACCAAATCTAAGGGTTATTAACAAAAGAAGTGGTGTTTTGATTTTATAACACTAGAAGAAAATCTCATATCCTGTAAAATCAGCAGACACACAGGCTCACACAGAATTTGATTTAGATCAGCTGGTTAAATGCTGAAGGACTTAGTGAAAATCTTTTCCCAAATCCTTTGGTAGGGGCAGGAATTTAAGTGATGCTGGTGTTGGAGTTAACCTGACCTTTACAGGGGGAAGTAAAAAAACCAAAAAATACCCTACTTAGCTTGTATGAAACTGTATGTCAAAAATGGATGGGTTTTAGCAAGTGAAAGCGAGGGGATGCTGCAGTTCTGAGCTGGGTAGTAATGATTTTGAGTCCTTTAATATGTCTTTGTATTAATATAATTTAAGAATACCACGCTTTACTATTAAAAAAGAACTTAGTATCTTTCATAAGGTCTAGTATCAGGATAATAATGTAGATGTTTTAACAACATTTTTGGTTTTGTTCTTAAATAAAAAACAAAACAAACTTGCTTCTTTTAGCCTTTGTAATAGAAAATAAAAGTGTGCACTTTAAACCCTCTCCTGATCCAGTGTGTGGTTGCATTTTTCAAGTAGCCCACAAAGACTTTTTATCTTGGTTTCAGGTTTCTCCGCTGTAAGGAGGGAAGCAAAGGGCGGACTTCAAGCATTGGATCACTTTTGCTTTCTCCGTCTTTAAGTATTATATAATCTAATGCTCTTCTTGCAGAGTGGAAAATTGCATGTGTGTGTATTAACGGATTCTGCAGTTCTTCATCAGATGCACAGTTCTGGTGAACTTTAGTTGTATTTAAGATATTTTAATTTTTTTTTTCTTTGCCCCAAACACCAAGAATCTACACGCTCTGCATTAACACGTAGTTTCAGGTGTTTAGATAACCCGTATTTTGAAACCTCCAGTAATCAGGTCTTGTAATCACCTTCATCTAGAGGTTGTTCTGCTGTGTAGGCTCCTCTCTTCAACTGGGTCAGCCAGTTCTTTATCCTGCCAGCGTGCACCCTGCCAGGGAAAATGCCCTTAGCCCTGTGCACTGAGTCACACACAGCTTGGGCCGTGAGGAGCAATCATGCAGATTTCCCTCTGGAGAGGATCCTGTGTGGTGAAGACCACACCTGGGCAAAGAGGTCAGTGTGAAAATATTAATAAAACTGTTTCCTTTATTTTTCAAATTGATCACAATACAGATTAATCTGAGATTCTTAATAAAACCAAAACTGGAGATGCGGCAGAGGCAAGGAATTCCCATGGAGACACCCTGCTACTGCTGTATAAACTGGTAGAGTGACCAGAAGATCTCATCCATTGAGACCTGAGGAGAGATTTGTTTACGCACCTCACCAGTGTGCCTGGATATGGACACAAGGACTCATGTCCTTCTGATTGTGGGGAAGGCCTGAATACAAGCTTGTAGTGGAGAGGGAATGAGGAGAGTGGTGCACTTCTGGTGCATCTATTGAGTACATGTGAGAAGCACTAGTTTTATCCTCCACAGATTATTGAGGCCATGCTGGCAAGAGTGAGGGAAGCTTTTCCAGTACAATGGAGACCAGAACTGTCTGTGAGGCAGACAAAGCATGAGGAGAAAAACAACAGTGTTTTCCTTGCAGGTTTGAGCCTTCAGCTGTGTTTCTCCACTGGTGTTTCTTCATTGAAGAAAATAAACTTGTATTTTGGAGAGGCAAGGAAAAGAGCAGCGACTTCAGTATTCATTTCCTTCAGCAGACATTAAGGCAAGGGGGAGAGCCCCAGGTCAACCAGGAAGGATCCAGCTCTGATGGAGGATTGAGAGGGACAATGGTAGAGACCTCTGAGTGGTTGGAGGAAGGCTTTGTGCTAAAGAACTTTAATGCCACCACACAGCAGCCTGGCAGAGGGATTTTGCCTTGCAAAGCATGTAAGCTGCAGATGGGACTCCTAAGCAATTCTGTGACTGAGTCTGCCTGCCCACACTATAGGGAAACATTTCTGGGCAGTGACAGCAGGTGATGCAAATGCTGTCATCACTTTTAATTGTGTTTGCTGCAGCCATTGAAACCAAGAACAGGGCTGTGTTGTGTTGTGTCCTGTGCATAAAGAGCAGCATTCCTGCCTTGCAGGAGCTGTAACCTGGGGGAGGTGTGCTGGTCACTGGCTGGGGTGGGGGCACGCAGGAGGTAACACTGTAGGGCACTTGGAGGGGAAAAACACTGGGCAGAAAGCAGTGTGCTAAATAGTAAAAGAGGACTGGGTGGGAGTGACTGGTGGGAGAGAAGTGGAGGAGGAAAGGCTGCAGGAGCACCAGCTGGAGCAGCCAGCCATTTGGTATGGGGCTGAAGAAGGTGCTGAACAGACTTGGCTGGGTGGCTCTGGGCAGAGGGCCTGGGGACAGCTAGTTCCTGGGGCTCCTGCAGAGCTGTGGGCACTGCTCAGGAGCTCTGCATCCCATCTCATCCAGCCTTGCCCCTTCCCAGGATGGGATGGAGTCCATCCATTCCAAATAACCTCTTTCATTTTGCAGCTGGATTGTCACCTCCTGCTTCTCTGTGGTTCCCCCTCCAGGTAGGAGCAGCAGGTCCCAGTGGCCCCAGGGCAGGGGTGGTGTTTTCTGAAAGCAGATCCAGGCGCAGCAAGGATGAGAGCAGGGATCAGACAAGATGACAGCTCCAACTGACTCCTTCCCCACTGCAGCAGGCCTGGCCTTGGCAGCTCCTGAAACTGCCCCTTTTCAGGGGTGCTCTGCAGTTTAGCTTATGGATGGCAGAACCCTTGAAAACTATACTTTTTCCTGAGAGTCTTGAGAGGCACAGACATAGCAGAGTCCCAGGAAATAGGGTTATTTGTTACCATCTGGATTAATCCTCCCAAAAATTACATTTACCCAGGACTTGGATGGACACCTCTAAACCCAGATGCCAGATTTGGCTTGCTTGAAACTGGAAAAATACTCGGTGCTGGAGGTGATCTTTGGTGTATTTCCCATCTTCTCTGTGATTTCCTTGTCTGCCTTAGCTGTGGGCTTTCCATAGTACTGGGGCCCTCCAGGCAGATGGCTGGGAAGGACAAAGAGCTGCATAGTTTCTCTTAATTCAATACCAAGGCACGCTCCGCAGTCTGTACCCCAGCAAAGGTGAGGCAGAGAGGGAACATCCTGCTTCCATTGGAGTGAGATGGCCTCAGTTTTCCCCAGCCAAATGGCTTGATGATGACTGCAACACAGTTGGATGTTGCCCCTGAGAGCTGTGGGGGGGATTCAATACAGAAGCAGTGTCTCAAAAGAAGCTCTCATCAGGCTGGATCTTCTGTTCAAGACCATTGATATCTTGGTTTTTAGAGATCAGTGGCAACCAAACTGCCCAGGCTTCTCAGGGGATCAGTTGTCTTTCAGCCCACATGCCTTCCCCAGGCTCAGCTGACTCTCGTATCTGTCCATTGGGCTCTGACCTCTTGGGCCATGATGCTGCAGCACCCCTGCTCCTGCCAGGGGCCATGTCATTCCCAGGAGAGATGAGTGAGCCTGGAAAGGGATGGCCAAGGAACAGCCGAAGACCTTACAGCCAGCCAAGCCATTTTGAGAAGGAAGCAGCTGGAGGAGCATCTATCTTCCTTGCTGTCCCACTCAATGGTCTCCTACAGACCCTGGCAGAGGCTCAGCAACTGCTGTCCTCGGATTTCCCCATCCTGCTTTAAACGCCTTGGTTTATTGCTGCTCTTGGCACCTCCTGGGCTCTGCTTCCTGCCAAGGCTTGTTCAGAGAGCTCCCAAAGCCAGCTCTGCCTAGGCTCCCAGAGCATTTCCAGAGCAGGGAAATGCACAAAGGCAGCTCTAGGTGTCCTTCCTACCCAGGGCAGCACAACTTCTGGTGATCCCAAGAGCCTTTCTCACATTTTCTGCCTGCCTAGCACCTAGTTTTCTGGCAAATGGCACTTCACAAGGGAAGGCCACATGCGGAAGAACAGAGCTGCGGTGAACCTGGCTGTCACATGAGCACCCCAAGAAGGAGGGAGATGTCTTGGCAGGGAGTGTAGGGAAGCAAAGCTCATTAGCTTTTTGGCACTCATTTTTGGGAATTAGTTTTTAGAAATCCTTTTGCCCCAGGCGGGAGGTGCAGGCGGTTCCTTCCACTGAAATGCACCACTCGCTGGGGGGATCCCGGCGCTGCTCCTCCACACAGGGAGAGAAGCATACATGTACACGTACACAGGCAAGTGTATGCTTGCGATACGCTGCCCAGAGAAGGGGCAGGCCCTTCAGAGTTGGGAAGGAGGCTCAGTGCAAGGCCTCATCAAACCTGTGTGACTGTGTCCTATGTTGATACCATCAAAAGTACCTAAAGGATCGCACACCTGTGTTTCAGGTGCCAGGCAGGGTCTTAAGTCAACACAGAGCCCCAGTTCCACTTTTGCCACCCTCAGCTGTCCACCCACCTGTGCTGGCTTTGTCCCTTCTTCTGCCACCTCCTTTTCTTTTAAAGTAACCTGCTGTGGATGCAGACACCCCTAGCCTGGCCACAGCCTTCCCTGTTGCTGCTGTTCTGGGTATCCTTGCAGCTCCATAGATGTCTGTCACCCCTAACAGCAGCATCTTGACCCCATGAAGTCAAGGTGCTGGGATGTGGGGCAAGCCTACTTTCGGAAAGGCCACAGTGAAACTCAGCCTGCCAGTCCCTGACAGGATGAAAAAAATTCCCTCTCAATCTCAATGCACTATGCAAATAAATAGTTAAATTTGTAGGTTGCCAGTGGAGTGTGTATTTGTCCGAAGAGCTAGTACAAAAAAAACAACCAACCAACCAACCAACCAAACAGATGTCTGCAAAGAGGCCGCGCCACTGACCTCTAGCAAAAGGTTTGCTTGGATAAAAGAAGAAAGAGAAAACCACTTACCAGGCTGGATTTAGTGCAAGAACCAAACTGTGGGTGAGCGTGGAGCCTCCACACAGACTGTGAGGAGTGGGCTTGATTTGTGGGACCTGCAGCAGAAAACACCTTGTGTGAGGAGATATGTAAATTTCCAAATAATGGCTGTGCTGCCAAGGTGAATGGTCTTGGGCGACTGAAGAAAAGAAAGCTGCTTCAAGAGCAGCAGGATTTGTAAAGCTTCTAGAGATTTCTACAGATTTTTGTCCTTATTTCCAGATACACTTCAGGGGAGTAACCTACCTTCTCTGTCACCACAAAGTCTCCTCAGTACTGCTGGCTTCTGCCTGTCCTCTCGCTATTGCCTGCCAGGGGCAGCACATGCTTTGGGCTGTCACTGCCAAATCATGTGCCCCAGATCAAGCAGAACAAGTAACAGCAGGTTTTCTCTCCAAGGAGGCATTATTCCACTCCTTTGTTACTAGTTTATCTTTCAAATAGAAAAAGATACTTAAATATATTTATCCCTTTGCCAAGGTGGGTAGCATGTTCTGGGGAGGGAAGGATGGATGGATGGATGGATGGATGGATGGATGGATGGATGGATGGATGGATGGATGATACTGTTGTGTAAGCTTTGTGTCCTTAGAAAATCAGACAAAAAATGTTTTCTATTTTCTAAGAGGACTCAGTTCATTAAATTATCAAGCCAAGCTTTCATCTCATTGGAGGAAGCTGAGATAACAGCAATTAGCAATAATAACCAATAATGCCTTTCTCTGGTCAAATGTCACTGCTGCTGGTGAGTTCCCCACAAGCTGTGATTTCAGATACACTAAGAAACAGCTAAGTTCCCTTCTGTACAGGTGGTCTCAGAAATCAGTGTGCAGCCAGGTGGCACCACCAAATACAGGACGCACAGCAACAATCTTCAGAAGTTTCTGGCCAAGGAAGCCCCCAGGCATGCTACCGGCTCTTGTTTTGAGTCTGAGGGCAGTTGCAAGACCACCGGCAGGAGGGGAGGCAGTGGAAAAGCAGCTCCAGAAGCACTGCAGATGTGGCCCTATGAAGGGGTTGAGGGAGCACTCCTGGGGCTGAGGGAAAGATGGCAACTTGGAGAGTTGCACAGAGAGCCTCTTCGCCCAGCTCATTGTAATGAACAGGGCTATATCAGAGATCTGAATGTCTGTAACGATTCTTCAGAGTCTCAAACTGCCAGAAAGGCTGTACCTACTGATAACACCTCAGCCCCAGTGCTTTGGACCTGATGGCAGACGTCTGTAGAGAGATCCCTCTAAAGACAGAAGTAGAATTAAGGGTTTTAAAAGAGACATTTACATGTTCTGGTACCAACAGAAGTACCTGAGCACTGCAGAGAGGTGGGGGCAGGAGGAGAAGCCGCAAAAGAAGAATTTGGTTGTGCTTAAAAAAAAAAAGCAACTATTTGGAATGAAAAGCTAAAAGGAAGGGGAGCATGGACTAAGGACCCCCGCTCTTCCCCTTGGGACTGCATGTGGCCGTGGCACTGCTGAACACATTCCTTGGGCAAATGTGCCAAGGGCTGCAGCCAGCACTGCTGGGTAGTGTGGGTAGCTGCACCGAGAGACCTACAGAAAAAGCAGATAGCCCTGGCCTCTGCCATTTAAATTGCCGTTCCTGGAGTTTGCCTCTCTCCATCACATTAGGTGCCCCCTTCTGTGTGCCATCCACTTAGGGCAAGCATAAGTTGACTATGGCTGGTTGAGTCTATGAGAAAATGTGCTGTTAAGGGCTGACTGGGCTTCTGAGTGATGGAGCAGAGCTGCTGAGACCTCTGCTAACATGGGATTACAATACTAACAAATAACGACCTGATCTGACAACAGTGCAGCCAGCACAAATGATGAAAGCTGTGGCCATGCCTGCAGCTTTCCAGAGCCAACATTTCAGCTCCATTCCTTAAGCAGCTCAAGTGCTTTCCGTGGTGGGGACGTGACGGCAGATGGACATTCCACACTGCTATGACTTTATTTTATAGTATGTTTTCTGCTTCCCCAGGGATCAAAGTCAGGGCAGTGTTGATGCATCCTGCTAGCGATGTTACCCAAGCTCTTCTCCTGTGTGAGAACTCATTTTTCAGGGATTATGAATCAAGAAGGGGACACAGTGTTGGCAAAAGACTTTGTAGACATGGCAAACAGAAGATGAGGTATGTGCTCTCAGATCTCTAGACAAAAATGTGTAGAAGTCCATTGCAGGCTAATAACTCAAAATGCTGAGTGACGATTTAGATGATCTTTAAGGTCCCTTCCAACCCTAACCATTATATGATTCTATAAATTTCCTCTCAATGAACTTCATTTTCTGAAGCCGTAAATGTCAGTCAATTGCTGCAGCAGCTGCTGTGAAGTCCTTGGGTCCCTCCAGACACACAATCAGATGTTTGTCCAGCTTTCAGGACAAGTTTGAGCCTGGGGCAAAACCAGGAGGTTCAGCTGCACCTGGCACCGGGCAGCTACCATGTTCGCAGTCACTTCACTTTGCCATCCTTTACTTCAGTGAGAAGCAGACCTAAACATATATGGCAGTAGCTCTCCCCAGTGTTAGAGATACCTGGCAGGATTGAGTGACCTCATTCTGCCTGCTTTGACCAGTCAGAATGGACTGGAAGATTTCAGGAAAGGACATGGACCTCCTGGCTGGCAGGCTGTGCTCCGGGAGGGAGAGATGCGATTGTTTCCCTTGCTCTCAGCAGCCAGGACGCACTGACCATCTGCAGGGCCTGTCTGCTGGCTCCAGCTTTGTGTGGGTGGAGGGCTGGTAGGGGACTATTCTCCCTGAATGGCTTCACCACCGATGGTTATCACTGGCTGTTTTCTTACATTCTCTCTGGGAAATGGGGAGAGCAAACCACAAGGAAAATCCCAAGAGGGTATAGTGTGAGTAGTTGTACCATAATTAAGAATTCTACCAAAGCATCTACTGTGTGATTTCTGAGCCTGATTAGATTGAGATCTAGATCATGCAACTCCCAGCTAATCTGAAATTCCCAGCCACCCAACCTGGCTAGGTAATTCTTTCTTTTTGGTTTCTGTTGGGTTAAATTAAATGCATTTTCTGTATTGGACCAAACACCATGCTATCATGGGACGAGCAAACCCTATCACTTTTTAAGACTCTAAATGCTGGGCCAGTGAAATGCTTCACTTTAGGCACAAGAAAAGTCCTAATGACTTCACTCAGGCCACTTTCATGCTTGGTTTTGAGTCATGCATGGTTTTGCTGGGCTGTTCCTGGCAGCCAGGGCTCACAGATCAGTGTAGGAATACCTGGTTCCTACTGAGACACACTGGTGCTGTAAGGCTGAGCCTGGCAAAATGGACAGGAGCAAACTGAGAAATAAAGGCAATTCTGTTCTAATTATCACACCCAGCAAAAGAGAAGATGCCAGTGTGTGTAAGATGCTCTTTCCCAAGCCCAATTCTGATAAAGAAGATCAGACCTTTATCCTCCTGGATCCATCCCTCCAGGCTAAAAACTTCATTAACAGGAGAGGAGGGGCTTTTATATGCTCAAGATCTTACTTAAACAGCTGTTTTCCTAGAATCTGCAGGGTACATGAACTCTCCTGTCTTACATCACTGCTCCAAGGGGAGGCTAGCAGTTTTCTGATGAAACTCTGTGTCACTTATGAAAAGAAATCCTGCATTTTTGGGGATAATCCACACTCAGTAAGAAAGATGCCTTATGCTGTTATATTGACTTAGGAGGTACACGCAGTAAGAGTTGCATCATATACAAATATTGTCACTATCTGCATCTCAGAGAGCTGAAAAGTTAGCAGGCAGATGCAGACAGCGTGTGTATCTGCAGGGCAGCCTGTGCAGCTCGAAGCTCCTCAAATCCTCCCGAGACCCCTTCAGAGGATCCCTTTGCTGTTGTGTTTGCAGTCGATGCGTGTACCCCTGACAGTGCGCACTTGCTTTCCCCCCCCCCATGTGTATATTTGTTATAACACCTTGGGAACGAAAAGGGTGCTGCCTTTGCGAAGTTAGATAACTGGCCCAGTTCTTTGCTGCCGGATTGGCTGGGAGAGGCCCTGTAAGACCACGCTGGCCAGCCGCCCAGCCCAGCCCTGCAAGGCTGCAAGCTATTTCCACAATTGGCCACTTCAGAGTGGGAGAGGGGGAGGTGAAGACAGCCGGGCAAACTGCATCTCTGCCAGGCTGCTTCCTTTCCTCCTTGTTTTTTCTCTGCCGGAGTAGTTTGGCAAGCCCGCTTTGGAAGCCTCTGAGCCCTTCTCACAACACCCAGGCGAGTGGGGTGTAGCACTGGCAGCCCGGCACCTGGCCCTCCCTTAGTTGTGCTAGCACAGTCCCGGGACAGGACATGTCAAGCTGCAACAGCCCCGGGGGCCCCGCTGCCCTGGACTTTCCGGAAGTCCTGAAGTCCCTGCTGGAGTACTCCTTACCCTGGACCAACAAGATGACAGGTAAGAAGGAGGGGAATGCATGCTGGAGTTTCTGTTTTGATTTCTCCTTCCCCTCCTGAAGTTGCAAGGTGAGAAGGAGGCAGAAGATCTTGTCTGCTGTAAGCCCTTCAAGGGTGTGTTTCCCCCAGGTGTTCAAGTTAGACGGGGAGTTCTGGCACCAAGTGTGTTGTGCAGCCAGGAGGAAAAACGGCAGCAATGGATTGATTACAAAATCAGTCAAGAGTGCTAAGCTCCCGATCCTTTACATTTCTGTGCTCAGATACTTCTTAAAAACCCTCAAAGCTTTGTGCACAGAGAGGCCTTGGGCACAAATCTCTGTGCTCACGTAGGAGCAACCTCCAGGACTGCCATCCAGGTTGTCCCATGGCTAATAACTGCTGAGCCTCCAGACATTGCCTCTTCCCAGATGCAGCCTGCCCAGGGAGCCCAGCCCTCCCGGGGCAGGCTGACTCCGTGCAAACTTTGTGTTTGACGCTGCAGTTGTTTATCAGTGGGAGGCTGGGGTAGGGGACACAGCAAATGTTGTGTTTTCTTTGCAAGGGCACTTTCTGTACTCTTAGGCTTTCCCACTCTCTGTGCAGCATCCTAAAAAACAAATGCAAAGGACCCAGGAGGTTATTTAGTCTGGGCTTTTGCTGTGCTGAATGCTTTGCTCTTGTTGGACTGATCGCTTCTCTGTTGCTGGGCATGTTCCAAGTGCCCATCACACAACTGGGGGACTCTGGTTTTGGATAGGATGCCACATGACCTTGGCAAGCTGCTTTTTGGTTTTGTGTTTTAATGCTCGCTGTTGAGTGTTGGGGAGATATGTGGGAACACCTCGGCTCAACAAGCTCATGTCTAGGTACAAGTTAGTCCAACTTACAGAAACAAACATGCATTGAGCTCACTCTTCTGTAGGGAATTGCTACCAGGACACGCAGACGGGTCTGCAGTCTTGAGGGGCAGTGTGATCCAGGAGGTGGGAGCAGAAAAGCCAGATGCACAGTGTGGAATGGGATCCTGCTATTGCTCCAGGGTCAGCAGGAGAAAAGGCTGCTGCTGCAGCAGTAAAGCATTTGTGGCAGGAAAGGCAGCGACCTACACCAGCTGGAATACAGTAAGCCCTGTGGCACCCATGCAGCTCCCTGTGGGAAAGCGAAATAGGGCAAGGGGAGCTGCCACATCCCTTAAGGAGCTCATTTTGTCACTTCGCTCTGCTGCTGCCACCTGTGAGCTGTCTCCCTCCTTTGCTGAGACTTTTCCCACTAATGGTTTTGTTTATGTATTGCACAGTATGAAGCTGAGTGTGGGGACCAGGGCATGTTTTCTGAGCTGACTGATACCTGGGTAGAAAGCAGACCTGGCTGGGAGGAGGCAGTAACAGCCAAGGAAGGCTCACGTGGTGCAGAGCCTTGCTGTGGCTAAGCTGAAGTTTGGCTGCCTCTCTGGGATCTCTGGTCTCCACAGCCAAGTGGATTGAATTAATCCAAGGGAGGAGCGCTAGCAAGATTTATCTGTTCGGCAAGAGCTGGAGTTGGGCGTAGAAGGGAGATCAATGATTTGCAGAGGGAATAATTGAGTCTTAAGTCAGTGTGGCTTATTTGGCAGCTGAGGGTGCTGTTTTGTGGTAGCTTTCTTCCTCAGCCCCAGGACCACCCTGCCTCTCAGCATCACCTCCCATAACCCTTAGAATTGTCCTTATTAAGCTGCTTCCCTCCCTGGGCCGGCATTCCTGTCATGGCCCTCTTCCCACAGAGCTCAGTTCTCTTCTCCTGGTTCTCCATACCTACACACCACTCATCTGGATTTGCTGGGTCTCAGACCTCTGTCTGAAATGTATTCTGCTGTTCAAACCTCCCAGCGGGGTTTGCTGTATGTGTCCCCCCTGACCCTGTGCCTACCGCTGGGCTGCTTCTTGCTTGCCTGCCTGCCTGCTGCATCAGAGCTGGGCTGCTCTGCATTATGTGGCCCTGACAAGGCTCCCAGCAGTAACAGCCAAGGCCACTGCATTCCTGTCTTCTCAGCTGCAGAGCAAAAGAGAAATATAAAAATCCAGGCAGATCCCATCTTAACCAAGAAGGTACAGCTGATGGTGCAGTGCTTGCTTTCTGCTGGCAGTGGCTTGAGCCCCTAATCTCCAGATGCAGCGAGGAAAAGCTCTCAGAGCAGCCTCCCTCCCAGCTGCCAGGGCAGAGCTGATGCCCGAACAGGGTGATGGGAGATGGAACCCACAGGAATGCTCCCCAGGAGTTCCCTCCCTCCCACCTTCGGCCCAAGCAGCTAACACTGTACAGGCTAAAGCCTCTCCAAGCAAAGTCACAATCCAGTGGTGGTGCAGAACAAACCTTAGCCCAGTAGAATGTGGGCGAAAATGTGCTGGAGGAAGAACATAGTCGATCTAAAGGGAAAAGCCCTGGGGTAAAGGCTGCTGAGTGGTTTTAATAGCCTCCATTCATGTTACCCAGCAAAGAAGTTGCCATTGAGATCTGCAGGGGGGATGCACACAGAGCCTGTTCCTTGAAGGAGTAATGTACAGTACCGAGAAACAGTGTCATCCCTGGGGGCCTCCAGCATCAGCAACAATGGAACAAAGCAACCATGAGAGCCATAACTGAACGGGAAGCCTGCAGCCTGCTCCACTTCGGCTACGTCCCCTTGTCCTGTTCCTAGAAGCTGCTCCTTCCCGACCTCACTGGGTTGTGTTCTCTATCTACCACCTACCACTAGCTGTTTCCCAGGCAGAAGCATCGCTGCGAGCCCGCTGCCCCTTGCCAAGCTGTGTGTGCCACCTCTGTCATGTGTGGTCTGACATCTGTGTTTCATTGCCCCGTGTGAAGTGGCATCGCCCTTTCATGGTTTTTCTTTCTGCCAGCTGAGCTTGGCAAGTCGGAGGGAGTCCATGGAGAGCAAGTGGCAGCTGTGGAGCACACTGGGCAGCAGAGCATCACCTGGTTTGCCTGCTTCTTGCAGCTAGATTTATCAGCCTTGATAAACAATGCATTAACCTGTGCTGTTCCAGCCTGTATTAACACATGGCCTTTTCCAGGCTCAAGCGCAGGAGTTGTGTCAGGAGTCCTATACCTGTCCCCTGTGAAGGAGGCAGCAAATTCACCCTCCCAGCCTACACAAGAGAAGTAGCTGGCAGGTAGGGCAGATCCCTGTCTGCCCGGGGTTGGATGGAAACATCCCCTGGTCCTCGGTGCAGTAAAGCAATGGGGTAAAGCATCTACTCCATACGACTTCCAATCCATTCCTTTTCCTGGGACACATAGGGAGGATTCGAGACCTGATTTTGTGTCACAAAGACCACCAGGGTTTATTAGCAAGGGTCAGGTCAAATTGTGTCTCGTCACTGAAATGAAATGTCTGGGGTTTGTGGAGAGACAGTTGAATCAAGCAAACACCTGAGTGTCTGGAGAGGTCCCTTTTCTGCTGGCACTTAGGAGTGCCCTGGCACCTGTATATCTGTGGGGTGCCGGTGGGGCCATCCCAGGGAGGTTGTGCACCCTTTCCTTCCCCGTCTCGCAGCGCTATGTGGTAGGTTTGCTGTGGCCGGCCCTTCTGCGGCAAGAGGCAGCAAATGCTGACGGGAGAACACTGTGGCTGTAGTGTCTGTCACTTCTGCGAGCTTATTCATTCTGCAGGAGAAGCTCCTCAGTATCCGCCTGTGCTCTTGGGGATGAACTTGGCAACATTCGCTGCCTTTGTGTGTTCAGAAGCTTAAATCCCAGCACGGCATTCCTGTTGCTGCAACAGGGGGTGGTTGAGGAATCACAAGGATTGCTTGTGATCATGAGAACTTGCGGAGACTCCCCCTCTCCAGCAGCCCGGCCGTGCCAGCAGCCGCAGCGGAGTCCTTCTCCCTGCTAATGTTATATAGGGCATGGCGCCGCGGCTGCTGCTGGCATGATGTGGGACAGAGGGAGATTAAATCCAGGTCATGTGGGAAAGGTGATCTCGGGATCCTAAACGAGGATATTTAAGGACCGGCTGGAGCGCTGGCAACGGCGCCAGTTCGGGAGCGGCGGGCTCCCACCTTGCCCCTCGACGGTCGCCGCGCTTACGCGACCCGCCAGGTCGAGCCCG